CCTGCAATTGAAAAAAATACTAACTTTAAATTCAGACAAAAATATGTTTGTTAATACAAAAACTATCAATCATCGCGGTTTCTTTACTAGTTTCATTCAACCACTTGTATGAGTGAGTAATTCTCGTTATTAGGGAACTCTTGGCTTAGTATTGATATCAGTTTGTCATTAGCCATAATAATGGGCATAATAATTAATTTCCAATGAAGGTGATTTGTGGGGTTTTGTCTTTAAAATCACCTTAATGTAATATGGATAATTCAACACAAAATGAAATGGATAGCGCAAGTTCCAGACTCAAAGAAGAAACAAACTATCGGATACTGGGGAGAAACCAATTTCGGAAATTGAGATAAGTGTGGAAACTACTGTATGTTGTACACTCTAAACTGTTAATTATTTGAAATGTTTAAAAACCAAGAAATTATAACAGCATTGTTATGAAGGTATATGCTGTATAATTAAAATTACTTATTATTATCTCCCCTTTTCTTTCGGGTTTACTACCATGACCCACTACACACAACCTGTGTCATTGTCATTTAATCAAGAATACTCAGGAAATGGGATTAGATGTGCAGTAAACTGTTGTAGAATGTGATCAATTACACACAATTTTCTGTAGTAAGAGTTGTGAAGTATGAAGTAGTTGTATATATATGTATATCTCGGTACAATGGATCTCCTTATTCAGTACTGATATCAGACTCTTATCACTAACTGTACCGGACACCAGGATTATTTTCCTATGAAAGTGACTTATGGAAGTTTTGCTAAATATTCGGCTAAATATATAATGGACATTATTGATATTTTAAGTATTTTGCAAGAGAACGAGCAAAGTATGAAAGCATGAAGATTTTGAAAAAGATATAGACAACTCAAGCTCAAGTGTCCGGAAACGGGAACAACTGCTGGAAAGTGGTTTGCTTAGTAGCTATATTTGATACAAACTTTGAAATTATAATAATCGATGATTTTCTCTTTCCTTGATGTTAACTGAATACCTAACATCAGTACAATAACACAATGTATCTATTAAAGTGTCACAGGTCGATTTTTTAAAATATGAAATACATGATACAAGCACATTTTTTTAAGTGTGTAACATATAAGTAAAACAGACATCTAGACTAGTACGGCTTATGAGAATCTATATAAAATACACTATCTACTAATACTAAAAAAGTGATGGACATAATAATTAAAACTTACGATACTGTGTGAACTGTTCTTTCTACAGTAAACATTATTCTGTTCTGCTTAATTCATCATTGCGCTGTTTTCTTTGTTCTCTTTGTCCTAGCTATGGATATCGTACGCCTTATTTTAATCAATCCTAGTTGTAGTATGTGATATGGTTTTAGAAAGGGCATCAAAGACACGATTGCAGTGTTCGAGAACAACAAAGAACATGTTCTTGATGTCATCCAAATACACCTAAGCTGTGCAGATTCATTTAACCCTGGTGTGACGTAACCGCGCAGCACGGTTGTTTGAGAGATTAGATTTTTGCAGCGATTACGGAAGGTCCTGAGGCCTTCGGCTGTCAAGCTTATCACTTCACCATAAAGTGATATTAACAGATATCGATCATAACTAATATCTCAGGGCCAGCACTAGTCGATTCCTCTATCAGTAAAAGGGGGCGACAGAGCTGAACATTATCAAATTTTAATGAAATGTTGTTTTGAATATAAATAAATATTGTGACGTCATGGATAGATGTTATGTAATTGGCTACCCGAATTTGATGCGTTAGGCCTTTGTTCTGTGCCACTTGACTACTAAACCCATCATGTCAATTAACATCAACTCAAGTAAATAATGTCACATTCTCAAATAAGAACCAGTTTTTAACAAGAAAACAACAAGGAATCAAGCACGTTTAACTCTCTAACACATACGGAATATAATTTGTCACAACACGATCTAGTGGGCGAGGATGATGCTTTCGGGTAGTCTTCATCACCAGCTGCATTTTTCTATGTGTTGTAAGTGAAACAATCAGCTATTGACGTATATTCCATTAATCGTAAAATTTTGAACAATCCTCATAATATCGCCAGTACCACTGGATGCCGAAGCAGGAATTTCATCAATGACAAAATATAAAATAAATTCACATCATACAGCTTATTTAAATTCTGTCCCCGTTAACTGCGTTGCAAGTAAACAGCAGATTGGTAGTTCATTTAAAATGGGTTTTCTTAAACAAAATGTCTTGAAAAGGTTTTGATGATGTTGAAAATTATGGGGAATTTTTTCTGTCGTCATAGTGATCTCCTTAAGAGATATTCCGTTGTTGTACACCTTGTTCTTATTTGAGAACGTGACATTACCTAATTGGATTAACAAAGGTTTACATGGCAGGTGTCGTCGATGAAGTAGAAGACGAGTACTCCAACGGAACACCTGATGTTATCAGTCTCCTACCGGTGAAACCGGAGGGGACTATAGCGTTTCTCTCTGTCTGCCTGTCCGTTTGTTAGTCTGTCCGGATGTTCGTTTCCAGACAATAACTTGAGAAAAGATGGATGCATTTGATTGACACTTCATTTACTGTTAGCTCATGAGGTAATACAGAATAGGATTGAGTTTGGGGTCGAAAGGTCAGCTACAAAGGTCACTATTGCTAAAAATATATATTTTTGTCAAATTGTGGTTTCCAGATGATAACTTCAGAAAGGATTTATTGATTTGGCTGAAAGCTGATACAATGGTAGCTTATGAGGTAGTACAGAGTGGGATTATGTTTTGGGTCTAAAGATGACTTTTAACATCATACTGTGGCTTCAAAATATAACTTGTGATAGGATTGACCTATGGCATTGAAACTTGATGTAATCTCATATCTTTGAGTTAAGGGGTCAATAGGTCAACTGCGAAGGCTGTGAAGGTCACCTACCATCATAGACATTTAACACAATTTTTAGGCCCCCAAGTATACTAACAATGTAACTAGAATGGTTAAATTTACGCTTAAAGCTCAGACAAAATTCCGGGTCCTTTCTGACATATCAGTGGTTTAGTTTGTTATCCAGATAATCACTTATTTTAGTTAGAGATGGCAAATTTGATTAAAACTTCATACCGGATTAAGCACAAGAGATTACATATAAAGTCTTTTTCTGCTTTTCTGCGTTATTTTCAGTTTTGTGTGTCGTTCCTGTCAAGGTACTGGTTTTTGGAGAGAAGACTTTCAGTTCAATAGCAATCAATGTGTACGTTGCTTAGAAAAATTGATTAATATTTTTAAAAAAATGATATTAACAACAAGCAGCAGAGGATATGTATCACAGTCAATAGCAATTTATACACAAATTATAAACAAAAAGAAGTTATCACATTTTATATATATCACAGAAATTAAGTAATCAGATAAGACTAAATAGGCTTAGATTTAACACCTGTATATCTGATATATACAGGTATTTCTTGATGCAAAAGAAGTAAAACACTTTAATGAAAATGTAATATACATATATGCTAATATAGCAAAAAAATAAAAAAAATTGACAGACTATGCTACTACTATAGTGCAAATTAAAAGAGAACATTTTGTCAATGTCAAGATTATAAATAGTAAATAAATACGACATCAGATTATAAACCAAAGCAAGAAGACAAACAAAATAAGCAAAAGCACTTAGAATAAAGCACTGAAATGAAAATAGAAGATAAAAGCACACAGGTAGTAACACCACTGAACAAAGGGAGGTAACTCACATATGAGCACACATAGAACACTTACAGTCCGGGCCATCCCACAAACGGAGCAGTCTCCTGAATTCTTTGTGGTTCTCTACCTTACGTCGATCATTCGGGAGACTGTTCCACATGCGGGACGCCTCGTACCTGAAGGAATTCTTTCTATATCTGGTATTGTTTACCCTTGGGATGTGTGCCTTACCCTCTGCTCTGAAAGTATACAATGTTTCTTGTTTCAATATCAGACTACAAATGTAGTTAGGAGAAATCTTGTTAAAAAATTCAAAAACTTCACAAGTCATCAACTTCATCCTATTAATATGCAAGAAAGAAGTATTAGCATCTGTTAGCAGTTTTTTGAGGTCAGAGGTATAATCATTAAAAACAAAGCCCCTTTCTTGCACCTTTTCCATTTTCCTGGTTGCCGAGACGCTGTAGAAATGCAAAATAAGGGGACAGTAATTAAAATTCGACAATACAAAACTCTTGTAAATTAACATTTTAACAGATTTAGATAAAAAAACTGCTAACTGTTTGGAGGCTTGTCTACAAATAAAAGAGATATGTTTATCAAACTTCAATAAAAAATCTATCTCAGCTCTTAACACTATCGTCACAAACTATGGCGGAATTGCCTATTGTGAAGTGATGGAGGGATTTCTTTCCTAAACATATTGACTGAAATTTTTCTTGGTTCGTTTCATGCCATTCCTTTCAAACCATTCTATAAGTAATGCTGCCTCTCTCTCTCTCTCTCTAACACCTCTTTAAAACGTTTAATATTTTTGTTAAAATAACCCAGAGTGTATTCATCAGCATAATTGTTTAAAGTATTTATTAGAATAATTCATATGTTTATGCACAATATTTGTTGTTCACAATAAACAAATTTTAACGAATTCTATTTCCTATATAGTAACCACCAAGAAGAATCTCTGCCAGTAGCAATGATTTTAAACAATGTTAGCAAGACACCCCAGTAAATCTTTTAACGTTATCTGGAGTGTTTGTAATTGACTACGTTTATTACACTACAAGTACATAAGTCATAAAAAGTTACTTATTTTACAGGTAAACAAGTCCGTATGCTGTAAACCTACACACCATTGCTTGATCGTGTTAGGTTTCGTCGTGCTTATCCATTGTTTCGCCATCTGTTACGATCGACATGATACATAATGTAGATTCGACGCGTTGTTCATCATGAAGAAAAACTCGGCAGCCACGTCCAATAGACAGTACTGATGGACATTGACTAGCATAGAGCTAACTCTGGTTGCCTGGATACAATGGCAGATTTTCTAAAATCAAGCAAATCGATATTCCAATTAACAGTGTTGATCTTAATTCTGTTTACATTTGCGTTCGTGTATCAAGGTGAGATTCTACTTTTGAAAAGTATCAGCATGTTTGAAATAATAGTGTTTTTCCTTAATTTATTCGATCTTTTTATCAGTTTATCCATACCTCATCAGAAATTGGTCTGAAGCTAAGACGATTTATTTATTCAAATAACTTGCAAATGTTTTTTAAATGTAACATATTTCTTACTTTGCTGTAGATTCATATATACCAATATTAATAAATTCTATGTCTTCCGTGTAATCTACTTACCAGTTTACAAATCAGAATACAAGTAATATGAAAATGATCATGATATCTATGTTAATTGATATGAAAGAGGTCATGTAATCTATGTTAATTGATATAAAAGAGGTCATGATATCTATGTTAATTGATATAAAAGAGGTCATGATATGTGTGTTAATTGATATACAAGAGGTCGTGTTATCCATATTAATTGATATGAAAAAGGTCATAATATGTATGTTAATTGATATAAAAGAGGTTATGATATCTATGTTAATTGATATAAAAGAGGTGATGATATCTATGTTAATTGATATGCAAGAGGTCGTGTAATCTATGTTAATTGATATAAAAGAGGTGATGATATGTTTGTTAATTGATATGAAAAAGGTCATGATGTGTATATTAATTGATATGAAAGAGGTCATGTAATCTATGTTAATTGATATAAAAGAGGTCGTGATATCTATATTAATTGATATATAGAAAGTCATGATATCTATGTTAATTGATATAAAAAATAGCCATGATATCTCTGTTAATTGACATAAAAGAGGTGATGATATCTATGTTAATTGATATAAAAAATGGCCATGATATCTCTGTTAATGGATATAAAAGAGGTGATGATATCTATGTTAATTGATATGAAAGAGGTCATGTAATCTATGTTAATTGATATAAAAGAGGTCATGATATCTCTGTTAATTGATATGAAAGAGGTCATGTAATCTCTGTTAATTGATATAAAAGAGGTGATGATATCTATGTTAATTGATATGCAAGAGGTCGTGTAATCTCTGTTAATTGATATAAAAGAGGTGATGATATCTATGTTAATTGATATGCAAGAGGTCGTGATAAAGATGTAAAAGATGCGGACAACACAAATTCTTTCTTCATCATCGTTGTCAAATGTACAACGGGAGAATTCATATAGGCAAATACTTTCATGTGGAACAACAATTAAAAGCCGTTTTTATATAAATAGATCCGTGTTCATTAAATATGTTTTTCAAAACATGAATTTCACATTCACTAAGGTAACAATATCGAACAACCAACCATATTGAGAAAGGTGTCTCAATGGACGGGTCTTGGAGGATTCGGGGAACAATGGGATCAACAGGATGTTACCACCAGTACAACTACCGAGCTATTTACATCAACAACTACTATGCCAGCATTGATTCTGAGAAGGGTAAGTCTATGCATCATTACCATTGTGTTATTACAACTATAGTTGTAGTAGCCACGTGTATAAAGGAAGATAATGACTAGATCGATATATCTCTTGATCATTAGCGGCGATGACAGTGTTGATTTTGTCATTAGCAATGCATGTACTGGATAGCTTATATTGTAACGTATTGGAAACATGATGGTGGTATATCTGTCTATTGTGTTCGTTTACATGTGAGAACTATTGTCAATCGGGATTCTGTTTATATCAACGTTCTGTGTATGTACATATGTTAGCATTTTGTCTTATGTTCTTATGTTATGGACTTTTGTTCAAATCTTCTTCGTTTATGTGACTATGTTTAGTTTTCAATTATGAATCATATTGTCCTAATATCTCTTTATCGAAAAGCTGTTCGCATTCGCATTTCTCCTAGCTTTTAAGTCTTGGACGCATTAAAAAATACAAACAAAACATTCTTAGACATATTCCGGTATCAGATCAGACTCGTTTCGTTTCCTATGCTGTATTTATAACTGTGTCCGTGTACACGTGAATAAACGAACTGCACCATTCTTATTCATTATCATAAACATCTAAGATATGAAATACGGTTTGTGGAATATGTCAATATTAACTTATAAAACAGCTTCAGGACACAAAAGAGTTTATTATTTTTTTTTCAAACTTGAAAATTTGTCTTAATTATTAACTGCCGGTTCCCATTAATAACAATTTTAGAGGTGTAAGATTACTGTTGGGATTCTAATCCGAGAGTACTAGGTAATGATCATTTTCTAACCGTTATCTCCAACATACTGGTAATAAAATAACGAGACAAACATATGCTGACAACTATGGAAACAAATCAGGCAAATAACGACTTTTATTTTTTTTTTATTTTGACCGATTGGTAAACTACATTATTTACTGTAGAAAGACAATCGTAATGATAAACCAATGCCGTAATGAATCAAAACTGTATTTGTATGAAACAAAGATTATCTGATACTGTCTTGCAATAATATTTAACTTTTAGTTTACAATGCCAACATCAATCCGTCACGTCCCTCGCGTCTAAAACCAATAACTTCCAGTTAAGCATGTGTTTTTACGTTATGTACGTGCAAACTGTCTTACCCCGGCAAGACAGTGGAATCTAACCCACACTGGAAGTGTCCCAAAAAGAAACTACTAAGGTAAAAAGCGTGGATTAACCTGTGCAAGATAAGAGAATGACTGTTCTATGTTGTTCCTCTGATCGACAAAGTGTCATGAATTTGTCATGTGATCGAGCAATGAAAATGAAAGCGATTGCTGCACTCACCAGTGATCATTGTCTACAAAGCAATATAACTGTTGTGAAGGCGTTAAGCTCTCAAACAACAAATAGAGAATTTATACAAATATTTAAACAAAAAACCAATCATATTTGGTTCCTATAGAAAAGTTAGAGTGACCGATCCACATTTGTAAAATGTCTATGCTTTGTTGGTTAAATGATTAAACGTTAAGTTATTCAAAATGGAAAGATCAAAGAAAGATAGTGAATACAGGAAGCTAGTTAGTTTTCGAGGGGCAATATTTTTTTGTTATTTTTGACGACGAAATAATATCGAAAATACGCGGATAATTAAGTAAGTAGGCAGTCAGTTACACAACTTCCATGTAAACGTGTTCTTGTCTTGTTTCCGTATTTGACTATCAGAAAACAACGTTTACAGTTATTATCAAACGTGTGCACATTCATTCAACATAGTGGTTGGTTGAAAATGTGTGTTGTCTATAAGCATGTTATTTTCTGCCAGTCATGGTCAGGGGTAGGAAAGTATACTGAGGTGAACCATCTTGGATTCCTGAGAATGCTTTCCGAAAAAACTATGTTCTGAAGAGATTCATAAATAATTGTATAATTTTTCGCTTCTTCTTGCATTTTTTTTCTTTTTCTTATTTTTTTCTGTAGTAATTTCTAAACTAAAATAAAAATAATTGTTTGACTTTTTTTTGATGATGTTGTTTCAGAATTTCGATAGACATTATGACTTAGGTGAGATTCATGTGAAGAGAAGGAACACTATTGAACGGGTGTGTGACAAAAGCAAACACGGCTACTATGGAAAGTCGAAAGGATCTACAGTAGCAAAAAGATTAGTCATCGACCATCGTCATCACCTTGTTTATTGTGCCGTTCAAAAAGTTGGCTCAACCTTTTTAAGGAGTCTTTTGAAGATTGTAAACAGTCAGGGAGTGAAAAATATTGACAACCGATGGAAGTCTGTGAATAAAAAGGAACCTCAAGACCTTACTCAATTTCACTATTTTTTATCAAGCTCTTTTAAGATGATGTTTGTTCGCGAGCCGTACAGCAGACTTTTTTCTGGATATACAGATAAACTTTTCACGGTAAACACTTTTTACTGGAAAATTACAGGAACGTACATAAAAAATGAAATTTTGAATCATGGAAATAAATCTCCAAGCACATGTGGACATGATATAACATTTCCACAATTTATAAAATACGTTATTGAGTCAGAAAAAACTGGTCGGCATACTGACCGACACTTTACTCCTATATATGAACACTGCCGACCATGTCAAATACCATATGATTTTATAGGGAAGATGGAAACCTTTGCGAACGATTCACTCATACTGCTGAATGCTTGGAACAAGAGATACGGTATTAATATCGCATTTGATGATTTCGAGGCCGAGACGGCCTTACAAAGAGCTGTATCTCATACTGGGCGTCTTTACAGCATGCGCGAAAACCTCGAAAAATGTATGTCGTTTTATTCTGGTATGCAACGAATATGGAGGGATTTACAAATTCGAGGTATTTTACCGAAAAGTGCCAGTCTCCCGTTTACAGAATCAGAATCTGTAAATGTTGACAGGTCACAACTTATAGACGCTTTAACAAATGCTATCAAGGGAGTCACCGATCGAGCAGGTCTCCGTCAACAGAAGAGAGAGGCAATGATACAGGCTTACGGACAAGTTCCAATGAAGGACCTTATCAAACTTAGGGAAGTGGTGCGTCCTGATTGTGAACTGTTCGGGTACGATGTCTCACCTGACTACATCTTTAATCGTACTGATACATCTGGAGGGACGAATTCCTTCAATTACTTCGATTTATGGAATGACAATTAACAATTGCTGTTCTTTTAAAATATTATTGTGGCATTTTGTACAAATCTTATTGTGGCATTCTTTATAAATCATATTGTGGCATTCTTTTTAAATTCTATTGTGACACTCAAGGCCTTATCACCGTTGTATTCGTCAGTAATGCCTTTCATTACTTTTCACTTCACGTATGTACATCTGTAAAAAGGCGTCTTTTTCTTCATTTCAAATAAGATATTGAACATTACTGATGGGAATAAACATTAATACAGTACCTTTCTTGTGTGGATAGTATTCTCTATACAGAAATGTTTTATTTTTTCGGTTAAGTAACACAGTGCAGAACTGTTCATTGGAACATACTTGTTCCCCCTCCTTTTTATCTACTGATGTACTACTATACGATACATACAAGATTATCAACGGTTACGATTAGATACTTGAAGTGGATGTCGGTTTCTTTTTATATTAATCATGGTTTTTAGAAACCCTGTTCTGCTTGGTTTGCTATGCTAATAAATTATTCTATTTTACATAGGAGTCACAATATCTCAAAGATGGAAAACACATTGATTTATCTTTGACAAAAATAATTATTGTATAGCATACGATGTTGTAATTGGGAAAAAGCATCAATAGTAATGCAGTCTGTTAACTTTTGCATAACGTGTACATAACGTTGATGAATGCAGTCGTAACAGAGCTGAAATCAACTGTCCTCCGTACTTTAATCTTTAATCATGGAAATGCCATGGCAGACTGGACGGACTTGTTGGATAGGTAGATTGAAAATTGTCTTCACATTAAAGATTATTTATTCTAATATTATGAAATAAATTCTATTGTCTTGTCATTTATCGAATTAATCCTTACTTTTCACTAAGAAATCTATTCTATAATGAAAAAAATAGGCTGATCGTGAGACACAAAACTGAAAACCTGTGGAAATTGTTGCATTATTATTAGAGACTTATTATACACTACATACACTTTCTATGAATGCGTTAATGAGCAAAAATCAAACAGCACAATAGGAACCAACATGTGGCGATCAATCAGCCATGAAACTTTTATAAAGATGAGATAGAGTTACAAAAACCGTCAAAGTTACACTATAGCGAGAGCGATAAGTAACAGCTGTTTTATAAGTAGTCACTGATCTTATTATCTTTATTGATCGAACGATGTTTGGAACAATTGTGTAACCATGGAATATATTATTTTTATTACTTCGTATGGCCACGAGAGAATTTCTTTTACATACGAAGTAATTGCTGCTAATCCTCAGAAGTTACACATCCAAATCACGTAATCCAGCGGCATCTGTTGCCTTGCTATTTCTAAATCAACAAATATGTAAAAAGAAACACAGCAAGTGCAAAATTCGATTACGAATGATATTTTCAAAATAGTATTGTGTGTAGCGTCTCTATGGCTTCTTATTAGCAGCGATCGCTCAGTCGGTTCGACCGTTGACATACTAGTCCACCCTTAGGTGAAGATCCAACGTGCCTGATTCCGCGTTCCTTACCTATGGTGGCTTATGTCTCTCGGGAAAATGATAATTGGACCGGTCTAGGTAGACTTAGTTGTATCCATGGCCAAGACCCTTTTGACCTAATTGCTCAGGACGACATACTAAGGACTTCATATATGCTGTTCGCTAAGGAGGTCATCACAAAGTGACCCAACATGAAAATGAACAATCCCAGCAAATAAAGCAAAGAATGTTTACCATCTACGTAAGTGTTGTGTTGATATGTACCGTCATATCTGTTCTGATTATAGAGCAGGCGGTTCAGGAAGCAGACTAGTTGGCAGCAGTCACAAATCCTTCAATTATTATTTCAATAGGCGCTTTACATTTTGCTTCTCCTTTGTAACAAAACATCTGTTTCTACTAAACTATCGATATTCAGCTAAAAACTGCCTTATCTTTCATTTCATTGGAAAATAAAACCTTAAAAGAATAATAAAATCGGGAAATTAATAGCAGTATATACCGTAGGTTTATATACACCTGAAGGGGATACTTCAAACATAAGTTAGATTTCAACTCTGAGCATGATGTTCTTTAACCTCAAAGCGGCTATTTTCACCCTTTTTGGTTGTATCGTTGTTGTTATTTTCATCGAAATTCAATGTAAGTATTCGTTGTTTGTTTGATTTTCATCTTCTTATCAGATATATGTTAATGAAAATTTAAAGAAAGTAGTGCGACTTTCTTTCATAAAATGAGTTACAGCTCATTATAAATGTTCACCGTCTGTTTTGAAGTGGGTGTGGTTTAGTTGTTTACTACTTATCATTATTGCTAAAAGTGTTTTTCATTTCCAATTTCCTATTGCCCATGAGTAATGATTTGAAATTGTGTCGAGATCGATGTAAACAAAATGTTCATGATAATTATTATGCAGCTCTAATGTACTGATACGTTTCTTGAAACAAACCGTAATTTTGACACAAAAGTGAATATGTCGAAGGCAAATTTGAGCCCGAAAGACATACGAGGAGAATACTGCAAAATATACTAAGGCCAAGTTCCCCGGACGTCGATGGTCGTCACATAAATTTAGGTTAATCCTAATAATGACACGTTTTCAATAACTAGTAACAAGATAAATTTCTATTTCAGAAAGAAATCATTAATTGCATTAAATAGTTAAAAGATAATGAGATAGCACTTCACGTTGCATAACTAGCATTATGTTTTAAAACTCGTATACAGCAGCTTGTTTCTTTCGACCATTAAAGATACAGAGAATATGATTTTAGGAGTACTTGAATCCCCATGAAACAACACAAATATATTTATCTGTAATGAAAAGATGAATATTTAATTTTAGTAATTTCCTTTTTGTTTTTGTTTTTTGTTTGTGAAAACCTTTCCAGCTCTCAAGCATGAATTCCTAGGACTATTGTAAAAGGCTAAGAGCTCACTTACGTGATTAGACTGGATTGGATTTCGGTTCGAATGCCTGTAATTCGATTTTTCTTTATTATTTTATTTTGATATTTGAAATAAAATTTGATGACATATAAAATAATATACATCTAATATTTAGCTTTTCGTTTTAAATGTTTTAATTGACTTGAATGAAGACCTTTTGTCATCTTCAGAATTATTTATCTAATTGTCAGTGTAAATATTTTGTTTTCTCTTTGTAATGAAAAAAAAAAAAAAAAAAAAATTTTGTTCGAGAACGAATACAGCTTATCTACCTTTGACCTCTTTACTGACTTTAATTTTTAAGTTCACTTTACTTTGTCTGACATCTGTCAGTTTAGCTTGACTTATCTGAGGCAGATCAATGTCTATTCACAATCTTTAACAAAAACATGAAAAACTCCTGGTACTGCACTGGACGTTTTTTTTTTCGGAAATCGAATAATGATGTCCAAAATTGGGGAAATAATGAGCTATCAAAATCCAAGGCATAACTAATCGGCGACATCCCTGAATATCAGATGATGATATAAGATGAATCCCACAGGGTTCAACGTCTTGTTCAAGTTCTAAACGAGCTATATCTTATAAAGGGATTCTCCTCCCAATTCATTGATTTTTGTCCTTATAACACAATATAGCACCAAATGTACGCTTGGCCGCATTCTGACCTTTCTATCGCATGTTACTGTCTTTCGAACATCAGGTTTTACAGGCTGTAGGAAATGTATGTAATACAGTATACTATATCAATGGTTTGCTATTGATGATTGAATCACTTAATCCCCATTGAGCTGAGGTTGTTAGGGATCTTTGCATATTTTGTTCAGCAATGACTGTGTGTACAGTACAGACACAATATAGTTGTACTGTTGCTTATCGTAATCCATTTAGTATTGTATATATAGGACTTTGACAGTTCGAGTAAGATGAAGATAATGCTCTTTTTATAATAATATGTCATTGCGATTGTCTATGAACACCAGCTGTTTTCTACAGGCTGTCTTAGCGAGGCGGATTACGGTAAAACTATTTATCAACACAGCTGTTTTAACGGCAAAATGTGCCACACACTTGTATATAGATCTTTAGAACGATGTATATCCCTGTTAGAATTTCCATGTGTATAGTAATGACGGCTACCTCATTTTATTTATCAATAAACGAAAGGCTAAAGCCATTCAGAGCAATTGAAGCGAAATATCTAGCTCAAAGAGACAACGACAAGAGCACAAACCGGTCCATTTTTCGCAGCTTTTTGAGAAACACATCCGCCATTGGTTGGGGGAGTCGAGCACCACACCTCGAATCTTCACCGGATGTTGAGTATCCCGACGGTCTACCAACTTTTTTGTCGCGGTTCCCCTGTATCCCGAGTATCATATGGAGGATATGTATTACATGTATATGTATAACATATCTATGTTTAACTTAGGCGAGGATCTGGATGAATATCCCCGCTGTATCTCACTGCGTGTTTCGTAAGAGGTGCAATGTCGTTTAATTTCACTTTCAGATATATTGATGACGTCTTATCTTTAAATAACAAGAAATGTATTAACCACGTCTATTGTATATACCTACCAGAGTTAGAAATCAAAGCACAATAGACTTTTCTACAACAACTGCTTATTTCATTCTTTTCCTACAACGAAACCAACATAGACAACTTTCCATCAAACTGTATGATAAAACTGATGATTTCGATTTCCCTATTGTGAATTTTCCATTTCTTGATAGCAATTTTCCTGGATCTCCATCCTATTTACATGTCACATTTGATTCAATATTCAGGGATCTGTTCCTGTTATCACGATTTTCGTGCAAGAAGTCTTCAACTGAAGGACAAATTCGTATCACAGAGGTTCAAAATGATGACGATGCAGGTTGTTGAAAATTAGGGGGGCGTTTTATGGTCACCGATCTCATTGACGAACGTTATATTTGTGTGGTATGAAGCTGGGCGTGTTTTATGCTCGTTAACTTGCCTGTTGGTTCCGTTGTTGTGATTATTTATTCAATTCTATCTTTTTTAATTCTTGATTTATTTTATTTTGCACTTGTTTTATAAAATTAGAACTTGGTTCATGATTTTTTTGTCATGTTGGTATTTTCTTGATTTTTTTTTATTTTGACAATCAGCATGTTAAATATAGGTTGATCGTAAAATAATTTATCTATATCCATGATTTTTTACGACATTACAGTAGTTGTTAAACCAACTCACGCCCCCTGGCCTACCCGGAAACGAGGTATCCAAGGCTACGTTGGACAAGATGAAATGGCACCAAAATCTTCCTTAAAGGTAAGTATCCATAACTAAAGAGAAACAATGCAACACAATTTTGAATGGAACGAAGGAATAGTTTTTTGCTAGGTAGCTCCCGATTTATAATTGTGTTTTTGTATTAGATTAGCTGCATTTCAAATTTCTCATTAAGCGTTTGGTGTTATAATGAGTTCATTTCCACATCAATGTTGAATAGATTGAAATAGAATTTGAACTGAAATTTCGCGAAGATGACAATGAAACAAAAAGATACCGCAGGGAAGAATAATCTTGCATATCAACATTTCATTTAGCTAATTAGTATCACCTTGGTTTCTTCTCACAGATTTAGAAAGTATATTACAACAACTTATTGTTAATTAACGGTCATAAAGCGTCACTGCGTGCATGCATTTGATAAGAGTGCCTGTGTAATTTTCATCGTGAAAAGATTTATTTTTAAAAGTTACTTAATTAAAATCGATTTTTAATGTATGAATCTCGCATTTTGATGCTTTGTAATTTCATAATCAATGACAACTAATAGTGAAGATTCCATCGTAGTGATTTTGACTCGATATGTTTTGCCAATTTCGTTAGATAGGTTCGATGGGTCTGTCCAATATATTTGTTCAGAGTGTAGGTTACACCTTGCGCCTGGGAGTGAGTTGTCATCAGTGGTTGACATGACGAGGAAAGTTAGTAGGGATAACCATCAGAGCAATTTTTAGATAACTCACACTCTAATACTTCATTAAAAACATTTTATATTCACGTGTACTTTTTTTTCACTTTAGCCATTTTTTCATTTATCTAGGTAAATGCTACTGTCGAACAGACATCTGAGGAGCGATTAAGAAAAATACGCAATATGTGTGTGAGACATGAATCAATTCTGCAACGAAGGAATTGGCACATGATATTAGACGATAAACTTCAAGTCGGATTTTGCCCCATTCAAAAGGTGGGGTCTACATTCTGGCGACGAGTGTTAGAATACACTGGAGGCCGGCGGAGTTATACATCTCTGTTTGCTGTGAAGTGGCATGATATGAAGACTCCTCATGTAGAGAAATACGGGGACAGAGCACTGTCTCTCCTCGACAGTTCAATCAAATTCATGTTTGTAAGAAATCCATACCAGCGCCTATTTTCTGGCTGGGTTGACAAGCTTTTTTCACCCAATCCCATGTACTGGAATAAGATCGGACAACATGTTAAACTGTTTTTGAATAGAAATGCCACATCTGCTTGCGGTCATGATGCTTCCTTTGCGGAATTTGTTAAATATTTCATACACACACAACGCATTCAAATGAAAAGAGACCCGCATTTTATACCAATGTACGAGCACTGCAGCCCGTGTCATCACACTTTCGATTTTATCGGCACCATGGAAACGTTCAGCACAGATGCCGCGTATTTGCTAAAAATCATCTCTAGTAGGTCAAATGTCAATATTTCAATAGAGGACATCAAAGATGCTGGTTATGATAGCTTGTTTGATCACAATATGCGTTTGTACCGTTTCAAACAAAACATTTTAAAATGTGTAAGCTTCTACGAGGCTATGCAACGAACATGGCGGAACCTGCAAATACGCGGGTATCTTGGTATAAACATGAGTGTACCGTTCACACGGGAGGAAGCAGACACGGTGACAAAAGAGGAGTTCATGTCCGCCCTAGTCACAGCTTACGAATCCTCCGGCTCCAGGTCGTACCGTAGATCTAACAGACGAGAGGCATTGATAGAAGCTTACGCTACTGTGAGTACAGCAGATCTGGAAAAACTCCGCCGAATATTTAAACCTGATTGGGCCTTGTTTGGGTACAATGACAGACCTATTGAAATATTCGAATTGTCAAGACACTACAAAAGCTCACATGGGTTTTTTGAAATTTTAAAATAAATGGAACATCAATGTCGTTTACGTAAACTCAGATTTGAAAATATCAAGTTGATTCGATTATACTGCCCAAATCTACTCTTTCGATTATAACCTTTTTAATCTACCCTTTCTATTACAACCTTTTTAATTTAACCTTTCTATTATAACCTTTTTAATCTACCCTTTCTATTATAACCTTTTTAATCTACCCTTCCGATTATAACCTTTTTAATCTACCCTTTCGATTATAACCTTTTTAATCTACCCTTTCTACTAAGTATTATAACCTTTTTAATCTACTCTTTCTCTTATAGCCTTTTTAATCTACCCTTTCGATTATAACCTTTTTAATCTACCCTTTCTGTTATAACCTTTTTAATCTACCCTTTCTATTGTAACCTTTTTAATCTACCCTTTCTATTGTAACCTTTTTAATCTACCCTTTCTATTGTAACCTTTTTAATCTACCCTTTCTATTATAACCTTTTTAATATACCCTTTCTATTATGACCTTTTAAATCTACCCTTTTTATTAAAACCTTTTTAATCTACCCTTTTTATTGAACCTTTTTAATTTACCCTTTCTATTATAACCTTTTTAATCTACTCTTTCTATTATGACCTTTTAAATCTACCCTTTCGATTATAACCTTATTAATCTACCCTTTCTATTATAACCTTTTTGATATACCCTTTCTATTATGACCTTTTAAATCTACCCTTTTTATTAAAACCTTTTTAATCTACCCTTTCTATTATAACTTTTGTTTTAATCTACCCTTTTTATTGAACCTTTTTACTACACCCTACCCATGCAGAATTATAGAAAAACAAGGTCATTGGTAACGAAAACCCTCCAAAACGTTATTATCAGAATCGTGAAAGCGAAAATTACTGAATTCAGAGACTACTGTCACTTTGGATTCTCCTTAGTAGCCTCCCAGGTTTAGAATTAAGGCTGTGGGTATCACTCACGAGACAGACGAAACAGCTGTGTGACGCAGTTCATTTCATTAATTGGTTCTATTTTTTGTATCTAAATTTGTATAAAAAGTTGGAGCTATTCCCATGAGTGTCTTCTGTTCAATCTTCCTCCATGACTCACAGGTTTGTTCATAGTTTCTTCCTTTAAGGAAATAAAGTTTTCTACATGTGATGTATAATACAGTTTAATTCAGTTTTTGCCTCTACAGTTTCTAACATTATATTTGTATTGAAATGTGATTTTCAGTTGTGTGTCGTTTGTATAATCTTCCCCGGGTGTGCTAAGGTAAGGCAGATTCGTGGTGGTTACCTAGCTTGTCCTGTCATGAAATTGCTAAGATTTATTATGCGGCGTGTTCATTATATTCATAGTACACACGTGTAAGTTAATACAATGTGAATAACTAGTGCGTCCCACAAGGAAATTAATAACTATTATCTAGGATTTATTCCAAGAACAACACTCCAGAACGCTTCCGGATTTTTATTTCATACTCTATATGTATCGCATATAGTTATATCCTTGTATATATTGTATTGTATTGTGTTATATTGTATTGAATTGTATTGTGTTGTGTTGTATTGTATTATATTGTATTGTGTGCTGTGTTGTGTTTTGTTGTATTGTGTTATATTGTATTGTGTGCTGTGTTGTATTGTATTGTGTTATATTGTATTGTGTGCTGTGTTGTGTTTTGTTGTATTGTGTTATATTGTATTGTGTGCTGTGTTGTGTTTTATTGTATTGTATTATATTGTATTGTATTATGTTGTATGGTATTGTTATATTGTATTGTGTGCTGTGTTGTATTGTGTGGTGTGTTGTGTTTTGTTGTATTGCGTTATATTGTATTGTGTGCTGTGTTGTATTGTGTGCTGTGTTGTGTTTTGTTGTATTGCGTTATATTGTATTGTGTGCTGTGTTGAGTTGTGTTGTATTGTGTGCTGTGATGAGTTGTGTTGTATTGTGTGCTGTGTTGAGTTGTGTTGTATTGTGTTTTGTGTTGAGTTGTGTTGTATTGTATTGTATTGTGTTGTATTGTATTGTATTATGTTGTGTTGAATTGTTTTATGTTGTATTGTGTTGTATTGTGTTGTGCTGTATTGTATTATGTTGTGTTGTATTGTTTTATGTTGTATTGTGTTGTGCTGTATTGTATTGTGTTGTGTTATATTGTATTGTGTTGTGCTGTATTGTATTGTGTTGTGTTATATTGTATTGTGTTGTGTTGTATTATGTGTTGTGTTGTATTGTGTGCTGTTTTTTATTGTGGTGTATTGTTTTGTGTGCTGTTTTGTGTTGTGTTGTATTGTGTGCTGTGTAGTGGTGTGTTGTGTTGTATTGTGTGCTGTGTTGAGTTGTGTTGTATTGTGTGCTGTTTTGTATTGTGGTGTGTTGTTTTGTGTGCTGTTTTGTGTTGTGTTGTGTTGTATTGTGTGCTGTTTTGTGTTGTGTTGTGTTGTATTGTGTGCTGTGTTGAGTTGTGTTGTATTGTGTGCTGTTTTGTATTGTGGTGTGTTGTTTTGTGTGCTGTTTTGTGTTGTGTTGTGTTGTATTGTGTGCTGTTTTGTGTTGTGTTGTGTTGTATTGTGTGCTGTGTTGAGTTGTGTTGTATTGTGTTTTGTGTTGTATTGTATTGTGTTGTGTTGTGTTGTATTGTGTGTGTTGTGTTGTATTGTGTTTTGTGTTGATTGTGTTTTGTGTTGTGTTGTAATTGTGTTTTGTGTAGTTGTGTTGTATGTATTGTGTGCTGTATTGTATTGTGTGCTGTGTTGTATTGTATTATATTGTATTGTGTGTTGTGTTGTATTGTATTGTGTCCTGTATTTTATTGTATTGTTTTGTATTGTATTGTGTTGTGTGTTGAGTTGTGTTGTATTGTATTGTTTATCCACTTTAAACCTTTAAATAGCTTATTAGTATAAGAGTTAAATACATTAGAGTACGATGTTCTTGTACAATATAAAGCTAGTATAACACATACTAAATATTCAGATATTATATTTGATTGACAGATTGACAATTTTTCCGTCTCCGTGACACCTCCCGTGTCCGGGTATTGTCTCGCCGACGAATATCAGTGTTCTGGCGACGTAAGGGGGCGATCTGCAACCCCCTCAGTGGGGTGAAACCGTCTGTAGTGGTGATCGTTTCACTCTACGAGTTTCTGTAGACTGCTCCAGGGCCTACCAATGCCTTATCCTAACTCTAGCAGTTGAAACATGTCCAGAAGAGACGATACCCGGACACGGGAGAAGTCACGGAGACTGAAAATCAATCAATGTCTAGAAGCTGAAAGGCAGTGTTGGGGCCCATTTAGATTTGGTTTGCGTAAGAGTAATTTTGAAGTCCGTCAAATGCCTTAAAGATAATTGTATATTCTTACACTATCCGTAGACCACGCAGTCCACAAGGAGATCTTTAGCGTGCGAGAATTGCACACTTGACATCCGTAATATACGTAATCGCAAGTGAAAGTTCAATGTGCATGATTCAACGCTTTCTACACGAGGCGGTTTGTGTTTGTCATGAAGTTTCTAGTGGGGTCGCCACCAGCTACTTAAAGAAAACTTCCGCTCAGTGTAACCCCAACATTTAGCACAATTTTGTGTGTTCAGTGTCAATTAATTTGTTATAGATTTTCGTGTTGTAAGTAACATTTATGGTATATGTTTGTGAACAAAGTATGACTATTTAGTACATTGTTAGTAACAGTGCTAGTGTATATTGTAATATATACTGCCACATTCTATAACAGTTGTAATCAATTCCTCATAGTAGCAGTACTTTTACGTTCATCCTTGAGTCTGATTTCTAGAATTTGGCGTTAATTATTTTGTCAGAGTACCTCATAATATTTCTTATGAATGTACTGGACCTGTTACTTCAGAAATGTTATATTATGAACTTATCAGCAAGAATTGTATTTGAATCACTGTACTTGGCATTTGTCGCGTGACAATTATGATGTCATCCTTATTAGACAAGGCGTCAGAATGGCTGTTTCATTTGAAGACTTACATTGGCGGTAGGTTCATCATTGTTAATTGTTTGCTTTTCATTAAAACATATATTTGTCATAAAGCAGAAAAAAATCTTAATAAAATATTGGTTGGTGCAGTTGTTCGTTATGATTAGCTTTGGATTTCTTGCTGGACATGAAAAAACGTTTTATCTAAAATAAAAAAAATCGAAACATTGTTCGGATCTCATACCTATATAGCCTAGAATGATACCGGATTTTTCTGTTTGATCCATTTTAATGCCCCATGAACATCCATGATTCATGACTTCTAGATAACGTATAAGAAATAATCAGATTCATCAAAAAAAGTAATCAGTTTATATATAATTTCTATTTCTAATTGGTATCACGGTTCACAATTGGCAATTACATCAGTAAATCAGCTGTACAATTTCTTACATTTTTAATTAGATTTTGTCACAGGTGATTGTGATTTTAGTCCTTAAAATTTTAAGGAGTATAGGTGAAGTGACATGGTTAATAATGAGATATTTCCTGTAATGAGCTATATATTTCATGCTATGATATTAGGACAGTATCGTCATATATATTTGTAAAGATATATATTTGTCAATACCACCTCATGTCTGGTTTTCATAATGATTATGTAACTAGTTCCTTGTGGAAATCTGCAAACACTTACTTTACCATTAACACGTTGATAATTTCCGTAAACAGGAATAGGTCAGAGAAATTACACACCAGCATCACCACTACAGAACAACCGATGAACATTTGTGCCATAGAAAATATAAATCGATGTGTAATCTTTCGAAAATTAAAGTTTCGAGTTAGAATGTTGAAATTTCGGATAATAAGAAAAGTTGAGTTACTTATCTTCAAATTTTGATGTATTTAGTTGAATTTCGAGTTATTAAACTGGAATTTCGAGTAAGTAAGTCGAAATCTTGAGTGATTATCTCGAAATTTGTAGTTCTTCAATCGAAATTTCGCATTAGATGTAATAAGTCAAAATTTCGGGCAAGTTGAAATGATATTTTATCAAATAAACCTGGTAAAATTTCTCTTTAATTGTTAACATTGACGCGCAGTTAAAATGCTAAAGAGTGCCGGGACGAGACTTAGATCTATTGAGAGTATATACCGGAGACCTACATTTTAGGTGTGTGCGGATGTAAACTAAATTATAGACGGGAGAAAGGTTATACATTCACCCACATCGAAGAGTTGTGTCATAAGGTAACCTTCAGAGTTACCGTACGCTGATGATAATCAATCAGTTGTGTGGTACTGATATCCGCCAACAAGGACACATCATGAGACTGGGTACGACCTTAATTCTTAGTCAGAATAACCCTTCCCCTTTCTCACGCTATCAATCACGTGCATTATACATCTTATATCTTAAATTACTTAATCCATAATATAAACTTCTCTGTTTTTTCTTAGACAGAAATCTAGTGCGATTTCAATATATTTACAGACGATGTTAAGATTCAAAACTGACAAACTTTCTTGATATTTGTTTAGTCGTTTTATTTTGATCAACTTCCTCGTACATGAGGAGCATGCATTTAAAAAAAATTCTCTATATCTCCTTTTGCACCCGGGGTCCTTCGTTTAAACAAAATTAATTTTCTTCACATAAGGATGCTTCAGACCAAACTTTGGCTAATTCAAACCATTCTTACGGGAGGAGTAGGATTTCAAAAAAAAAAACAACACACACACACACACATACAACCTCTATTTCTCCTATTTGGCCCCGCCCCTCTCACGCCAGGGAGCTGGAATCTATACTTTATACAAAATTGATCTCCCTTCCCCGAAAGATGCCTCTAACAAAATATCGTCAAAATACGTTTAGTCATTCTTGACCAGTAGACGAACGACGGGCACGGACGCCGCACCATGGCATACCTCACCGTTTCTTCGGACCAGGCGAACTGTAAACGAAATTATTACACAAAACGGTCAGTACTAACAGAGTTCTTTTTTGTTATCTTCGCGTAAAAACGATTATTTTTTTTATCGACAAGTTGCTGAAATAAACATTTAGTATATAAATCAATTAAATACAAACATGTCAACATAATCATAATTCAAACTCAAATTTAATTTACACAAAGACTCCTGATAAAAGTACAAAAGTGAAAAGAGAACAAAACCATGTGCTCATTAAGAGTAAGCGTTTTCTGCTTCAACGAAAACTCCGCGACATATACAGTTTGGTCAGTTTACAAGTAAGTAACGTCACGTTCCCAAATGAGAACATTGTAAATAATAACAGAACCTAAAGGTATACTAATGTATATTAAACATGTCCAATTTCATAAGGAAACAGATAGTTTTCAATGAGATCATTTTGATGACCGTGAGATTTTCCCATAATTTTTATCAACCACCATCGCTTGAAACCATGTGTTGCAAATTTGTCTGTTACTTGCCGACATTTTGGACGAAGAATCGTGATTTTGAGAACAGAGTCGTGAGTATCAAATGTCCTGCGACATGTAACACCAACGGTTGGATATAGAGGGATGTGGACATTTTCATAGCAGGGAAATTGAAATCATCTCGTTCATTACACAGCTTGGTGAAAAGCGATCAAAGTGATTTCATCGTAGGAACAGATCAAGAAAAATGACTGATATAGAAAAATCTGTCTTGTCTTCGTTTTCATTTCACGTGAGTAAATACAATTAACATAGTTTATAAATGCCTTGTATTTAGAGACGAAAAATCATCAATATATCTTAAAGTAAAATCAAGGAAATTGATTCTAGTATTTATTGCTGTTATATTTGGAGTCTTATATCATCAGGTTTTCTTAATTCATTATAATTAGGGACCCATATTGAATTTTTTTTTGGATATTTTCCACACTACAAACTGAGTGCAAATCGACATATTTAGAAACACATACAGTCTTGTGACGCTTGAGCAAACTTCCTGTTATTTGCAATCAAACTTTAGATAAGGTTTCATAAATAAACAAGGAAATATTTAAATGCTGAGAATGAGTAAGCGTACATATATACACACATATATATATATAATACGAGAATTTTTTAACACTTCGACTACGACTGTCGACCTGATTAGATGGTAAGTATCAGATTAGCATGGTGTTTGTTTGGTTTTAAAAATACTTTCTCTCCCGGAAGATGCTTCGCAAATATTTTAGCTCTATTTCAAAATAATCACGTCACTTTTCGAACAAGATTGTTTTATGTTATTGTACGTTCTTAATCAACATGAAATATGAAAGAATATCGGATTTTCGAGACAAAATTTATTGATTTGAATACAGACAGAAACTACGTGACCTATAGTAGTTACCATTATCATACAAGTATACACGTGAGTAAGCTACATGCACGTGTTAATGATGTCTGTAGCGAAATGTTCTTGTTCTAGGTATAAACGATTTTCTTTCACCTGACATTCAAAATATTTCATTTTGATAGAATTCATTCATAAATTCACACAAAACACACAAAGTCTTAATGACATTTACACGGAAACATACATACCAATAATTCAATTCAGTCACATGACCGTTTAGAATTAGCTGAACTGTAACATAAAGTGTATATTATTATTTAAATTAATATGCTATTACGTCAAAAAATTCTGGGATACATGGTCTAAGCGCGGACTTAATGTTTTATCAACTTTTAGATGTAGATAAATGTACCACACAGTGATTATCTCGATGTTATCACAAACACAAGTGGTTCATTTTCCGTTTAGGTCGTCAGTTCTAACGCCCTAGTTAATACATGTACACTTTTTCTATTGTATTACTGTATATAATATAAGCAGTTTTACTAGATGAGATATTCGATACACTTTTGACCGATATGATCAATTCTATTATCACACCTTTGTCTCTGATAAAACATATTTCACTTATGATACAGATCTTGTTTGCTAAGCCATAACAGAGCTTGGCTTGATAAACAGGATTTTTAACCAACCCGAGCATAAAACTTCATATCAACCTGGGTCGACAACTCAATATAAGCCCGGGCATAAAACCTCATATGAACCTAGGCCGACAACTTCATATAAACCAGGAACGATAACTTTATATAAACCAGGACCGATAACTTTATATACCTGGGCTGATAAGTTCATACCAGCCCAGGCCAACAACTGTAACCATCAGCCCGATATAACGTCATCAGACACATCGTAAAAGACAGAATTGCTTGCCCGAGGGCAACTGACAAAAATGGCTTGTAGTAATAAAATTTTGTTCTTTGATTTCCTAACTTATATTGTTGATGTTACTAAAATGTTTACTTATCAAATTACATGTTTGTTTTCGTTTTCAAAAAGTGTAATAAAAAGATTACGAGGTATGATATGGCCTGACATCAGCCCAGGGCCAAACCGTGAGGGCTGATATCAGGTCCATGGGCTGATATCCCTCACAGGGCCAAATCACGAGGGCTGATATCACTCATAGGGCCAAACTGCGTGGGCTGATATCACTCCTAAGGTCAAACCGTGAGGGCTGATATCAGGTCCATGGGCTGATATCCCTCACAGGGCCAAATCACGAGGGCTGATATCACTCCTAGGGCCAAACCGTGAGGGCTGATATCACTCAGATGGCCAAACCGTGAGGGTTGATATCAGGTCCACGGGCTGATAAAGGATGTGATATAAACATTCTAAAATAACCTGTGACTACATTTCTTATCTCTACGTGACCAGAACACACGGACGTTCGTCGGTGGGACGATACCCAGACACGGGAGTAGTCACGGAGACGGAAAACCTGTCAACCAACCAATTCTTATCTCTCGTCGTATTTAGCAGAATAGTATATCAATTTCATTGTTTGTTTACTGTTTCAACGGATACTCTCTGCCTCGTGTTGTTAAATATAGATCCAGTATATTGATTTCTCAAACAATAACTTGATATTTCTCTTTTCACTTTGGACCCCTCCTGGGTTTCAAATATTAGGTCTTTAGCATCATTAAAGAGTCCTCCAAGGAGGGAATAGCTTGGATTTAATTAATGGTTAAGTACGACTGGTATACGTCATCACGGTTGGTGAACTTACAATCCACGAGGATCACTATAACCTACGTTTGAATTAATTAAAATTGTGGCACGTTTTAAATCATCAGAAACATGAAAATTACTGAATGTATTGAATGATTGGGCCTTCCCATCTAGATATTGATATTTTATATTTTGGATTTTGCTCAGACGCCTCCCGGGTTTCAAAAATTAGACCCTTATCATTACTGACAAGTCCTAGCAGGACGAAATAGTTGTATTATGTAGTTTAATTCGTTGCTTTATTGTTTATATTGTGTTAAAAGGTGCTATCAATTTGTGTGTCTTTTGTACAAGCTTGGTTCTTATTCTTTCACTTTCATCAACTAAGACTCGTTTTGATTAATCCTTAATTAAAGAAATGTATCAACAGAAAGACACTCTGTATAGAGATTAAGTATTACACGGAATACACTACAGTATTATTGCCATTTGGAAAAGTGTTAAGGAATTGATCTTATATTTAGAAAATAGCAGAAGAAAACAATGAAAAAACAATATCCGAGATATTTTGTGATATATAAGATTATCACAGCGTTGTAATGAAGCTATGTTTAATTCATATCGTTTCCATTATTTCTACAATTGTAATTATATCTTCTACTGCTGTACTATATTTTTCATTAACTATTTCTATGTAATCTATGCCTTAATTGTACTTTATAACATTGCAAAAGGGCGATTAGCAAAGATAGATGTATACATAGATGAATAAACAAAGAGAATGAAAAAATAAACAAAAGTTTATATCCTGTGAGGGCTATGACCCACGTATATAGAACATAATGTCTAAACATTTATGTTTGTTAAACTGTAACATTTTAATAATTTTCCTTATTTTCGACAGAATGCCAGTCCTGTTGATTGAAACTCTTGAATTGAAATGGGTAAGTGTATTTTATGCATCTGCACACTACGACTAGAAACAACACAACAATGAATATGAATGAAAAAGGACACATTTACAGAGAGGATTAAATTAACAATAACATTTTTTCAGTAGTTATAATAAAAAGCTAATGTGATATTCTGTTGTAATAAACACAGTTTAATTAGCATCTCTATGATAAATTACTGCGATGATATTCCAAAAGATCATTGTCGATAAAAATCGTTCATATAATACCATATATGTGTACCACCAATAGCAACATTTGTTAGTCTTCTCTAAGAAAATTAATTATAATTGATTGAAGAGAATAACCATATTTATAGAAAATAAATGCAAACTATTTTTTAATATCAACACTACATACTGCATATTAATGAAATATATATATATAGTGGAGGATTTCCGAACAAAGTACAGATAAGTTTGAAAGGTTAAATATATACAGTTTCGGTACTGAGGACAGGGTACGTATACTAAAGGATATGAGTACGGCCAGCCAGGAATAGTGTACATAGCAGAATAAAATAAACATATGACCAAGTGACGGGTATGTTGTGTGATTATAAGGTACAAAATACAAGGTACAGGGTATGTTTAGCGGGAACACAGGGGACATGTGATAAGGTGAAGGGAACAAGGTAGTGTATAGGGTACAGGGGTCATGTGATGAGGTAAAGGTTACAGGGGACATGTGATAAGGTGAAGGGTACAAGGTAGTGTATAGGGTACGAGGAGCAAGTGATAAGGTGAAGGGTACAAGGTAGTGTATAGGGTACGAGGAGCATGTGATAAGGCGAAGGGTACGAGGTAGTGTATAGGGTACGGAGACATGTTATAAGGTGAAGGGTACAAGGGACATGTGATAAGGTGAAGGGTACAGGAAACATGTGATAAGGTGAAGGGCACAAGGTAGTTTATAGGGTACGAGGGGCATGTGATAAGGTGAAGGGTACAAGGTAGTGTATAGGGTACGAGTGTCATGTGATAAGGTGAAGGGTACAAGGTAGTGTATAGGGTACGGAGACATGTGATAAGGTGAAGGTTACAAGGTAGTGTATAGGGTACAGAGACATGTGATAAGGTGAAGGGTACAAGGTAGTGTATAGGGTACAGAGACATGTGATAAGGTGAAGGGTACAAGGTAGTGTATAGGGTACAGAGACATGTGATAAGGTGAAGGGTACAAGGTAGTGTATAGGGTACGAGGAGCATGTGATAAGATGTGGGTACAAGGTAGTGTATAGGGTACGAGGAGTATGTGATAAGGTGAAGGGTGCAAGGCAGTGTATAGGGTACGGAGACATGTGATAAGGTGAAGGGTACAAGGTAGTGTATAGGGTACGAGGGGCATGTGATAAGGTGAAGGGTACAAGGTAGTGTATAGGGTACGAGTGTCATGTGATAAGGTGAAGGGTACAAGGTAGTGTATAGGGTACGGAGACATGTGATAAGGTGAAGGTTACAAGGTAGTGTATAGGGTACAGAGACATGTGATAAGGTGAAGGGTACAAGGTAGTGTATAGGGTACAGAGACATGTGATAAGGTGAAGGGTACAAGGTAGTGTATAGGGTACAGAGACATGTGATAAGGTGAAGGGTACAAGGTAGTGTATAGGGTACAGAGACATGTGATAAGGTGAAGGGTACAAGGAAGTGAATAAGGTACGATGGACATGTGATAAGGTGAAGGGTACAAGGTAGTGTATAGGGTACAGAGACATGTGATAAGGTGAAGGGTACAAGGAAGTGAATAAGGTACAAAGATGGACATGTGATAAGGTGAAGGGTACAAGGTAGTGTATAGGGTACAGAGACATGTGATAAGGTGAAGGGTACAAGGAAGTGAATAAGGTACGATGGACATGTGATAAGGTGAAGGGTACAAGGAAGTGAATAAGGTACGATGGACATGTGATAAGGTGAAGGGTACAAGGAAGTGAATAAGGTACGATGGACATGTGATAAGGTGAAGGGTACAAGGAAGTGAATAAGGTACGATGGACATGTGATAAGGTGAAGGGTACAAGGTAGTGTATAGGGTACAGAGACATGTGATAAGGTGAAGGGTACAAGGAAGTGAATAAGGTACGATGGACATGTGATAAGGTGAAGGGTACAAGGTAGTGTATAGGGTACGGAGACATGTGATATGGTGAAGGGTACAAGGAATTGAATAAGGTACGATGGACATGTGATAAGGTGAAGGGTACAAGGTAGTGTATAGGGTACGGATGTCATGTGATAATGTGAAGGGTACAAGGTAGTGTATAGGGTACGATGGGGCGTGTCATAAGGTGAAGGGTACAAGGTAAGTGTATAGGGTACGAGGGGCATGTGATAAGGTGAAGGGTACAAGGTATTGTATAGGGTACAGGGGTCATGTGATAAGGTGAAGGGTACAAAGTAGTGTATAGGGTACGATGGACATGTGATAAGGTGAAGGGTACGAGGTAGTGTATAGGGTACGGGTGTCATGTGATAATGTGAAGGGTACAAGGTAGTGTATAGGGTACGATGGGGCGTGTCATAAGGTGAAGGGTACAAGGTAAGTGTATAGGGTACGAGGGGCATGTGATAAGGTGAAGGGTACAAGGTATTGTATAGGGTACAGGGGTCATGTGATATGGTGAAGGGTACAAGGTAGTGTATAGGGTACAGGGGACATGTGATAAGGTGAAGGGTACAAGGTAAATGTATAGGGTACAGGTGCCATGTGATAAGGTGAAGGGTACAACGTAAGAGTATAGATTACAAGGGACATGTGATAAGGTGAAGGGTATAGCGTTAGGTATGGAAACAGGGAGCTTACACCATCCGAGTACATGTTAAGTTATATATAGATAATACAACATCCGAGTACATGTAAAATAATATACAGATAATACAACAACTAGGTACATGTAAAATAATATACAGATAATACAACATCTAGGTACATGTAATACAATATACAGTGATACAACATCTAGGTACATGTAATACAATATACAGTGATACAACATCTAGGTACATGTAATACAATATACAGTGATACAACATCTAGGTACATGTAATACAATATACAGTGATACAACAACTAGGTACATGTAATACAATATACAGTGATACAACATCTAGGTACATGTAATACAATATACAGTGATACAACAACTAGGTACATGTAATACAATATACAGTGATACAACATCTAGGTACATGTAATACAATATACAGTGATACAACATCTAGGTACATGTAATACAATATACAGTGATACAACATCTAGGTACATGTAATACAATATACAGTGATACAACATCTAGGTACATGTAATACAATATACAGTGATACAACATCTAGGTACATGTAATACAATATACAGTGATACAACATCTAGGTACATGTAATACAATATACAGTGATACAACATCTAGGTACATGTAATACAATATACAGTGATACAACATCTAGGTACATGTAATACAATATACAGTGATACAACATCTAGGTACATGTAATACAATATACAGTGATACAACATCTAGGTACATGTAATACAATATACAGTGATACAACAACTAGGTACATGTAATACAATATACAGTGATACAACATCTAGGTACATGTAAAGTTATATATATATAAATTAATCAGATTTCCAAGTAAACAAAAAAGAAAATAATATAATCTGTTTCATTGCTTGACTCTTATTTCATCATTAAATTAATCATTCTGGTATTGATTCGGATAAACGTGGGATGTTTAAACCATTAAATCTGACCCGCCCACATTGACTAGTGCTTATTATGTAGATGCGAAACAAAACCGAAACTCTTTCTACTTTATCTGACCTAACCTCTTGTCTGTTTCCTTCCTTGTTAGTTGTCATGTGCATTTCACGTCAAAAATCTTACAAAAACGTTTACAATTACACAATAACACTTGAAATAGACTATCAAAAATTCTAAATTAAGATCATTTATATATATACTACAAGGATAAAGAAACGCAGGGTGAACTTTAAACCAGAAATTAAGTATGATATCGGGCTTCATTTAAAACGAAATTTTATATACTTACAGATAAATTAAAGCTTAAAAATTTCCAAAGTCTGTATTTTGCATCTGACAATTGGTCTAGAGGTACTAACGATTAAATTGAATGGACCCATAGGATTTTGAAATTGAAATTGAACTGAGTCATCAATATCTTGTGTGTCCGCCGTTTGCTGTGGTCACGGCCCTTATTCTTCTGGTCAGAATGTTCATGAGAGCGTTAATCCGTCTTATGAGGATGTTGCCCCACTCTTCAATCAGAGCTCTGATCAACTGCTCTTGAGTAGCAGGGGGTGGCTGGCGCTTTCGAACCTGTCTATCCAACTGGTCCCAAAGATGCTCGATCGGGGACAAATCAGGGCTATATGGCGGCCAATCTAGTGGTTGAATGTTGTTGTTGGCCAGAAAGACTTGGCAAATCCTTGCTACGTGGGGCCTAGCATTATCCTGCTGGAGGGTTAGATTATGCTGCTGTAAGAAAGGGATAACATGGGGTCGGAGGATCTCATCTCTATATTTAGCTGCTGTTAAATTGCCATCAATAACAACCAATTGTGATTTTAACCCGTGTGAGATTCCTCCCAACACCATTACTGAACCGCCCCCAAACCTATCCCTCTCTACAACGCAAGCGTCCGTAAAACGTTCGCCACGTCGGTAGACACGTTGACGACCGACAGAATCGAGACTCGTCCGTGAAGAAAACTTGTCTCCACTGCCTCAGTGGAAACCGTCGTGGAGCATGTGCAGCGACCCAGGCCATACGACGCTGACGTCGAGCAGGGGTAAGGTGTGGACCTACGTAGGGACGACGTGCTCTTACACCAACTTCTCGTAATCGATTCCTTACAGTTTTTGAACTTATAGGACGCCCATGATTTCCACGAACATTAAGTGCACTCTCAACGGCAGTAAGGCGCCGATTACGCACATGAGAGACGACGATATAGCTTTACGCGCGGACGTCCTGACCTAGGTCGATCGGCCAATCGCCCAGTTTCCCGAATATGTCTTACAAGACGTTCTATGGTGGAAACATTAACACCAAAGTGCCTAGCAACCTGATTTTGCAGCTGTCCTTGCATCAGCATCTGAATGGCCTGACCCCTCTGAACTTCTGTGAGTCGTGCCATTCTTAAAACGAATCAAATTCTCAATTAATTTTAGGGAAGCAGTTGGTCTGTATAAAGACTAACGAAGAGTGACTTGACCAACGCTGCATGAGACCAGAACAACACGGTGCACGAGATTCTTGTTTTTTCCTTCCTCCATTTACCAGAGCTGCGCACTGTACCGTGACTAAATTTTCGATACATGACAAGGTGTAATATGACCTAATTACTTAATCCACAAAGTTTCACTTTATTTAGAGAACGCGTTTTCAAAATATCGGAATAAATTTTACCCTGCGTTTCTTTATCCTTTCAGTATATTATTATTTTTTGATAATCAAGGACACGAAAAAGGAAACAGATGATTATGAGAGCTGTTATAATAATACTATTTAACATTTTCTCCTTTTAACTCTAAAAGCTATATTGACATATATAACTTTTGCTACACTGGTATAGGATTAGAACCCATGACCTAAGTACTGATAATGATGCAGTAATATAGTTAGACATTTCTCATTTCATTCACAGAAGATTTATGTTATTGGAGTACAATAATTTACATGTTTAACAACAGAGTCATACCCTTTGAATAAATTAGCATGCTATTATTGTGTCATTATCAACTTGTCTACAAAAATGCAGGTCTTTTAAGAGGAATATTTCGTTATATAATAGAGCAGATATTGTAAATCCAAAAACAGACTTAGGGCAGGTAAATAGGCCATATTTGTATTTCGGGGAGGATGTAAGCGAAAAATGTAAATTGTTTACCGATAAACTTATTTCTATTTTGGAAAAACACATTTCTAGAAAAAAATATAACTGTGAATAAAAATGAAAAAACCATGGATGAACGGAGATATAAGAAAAGAAATCAGACGTAGAAACAGATTTAAAAGAAATCATAAGAGTTAAATCCCCAACCACTGAAAATAACGTGCACATGACAAGGTTAATAATATGCTTAAACGCGCCAGGACACTTTTCTACACATATGTTGAGGGATTCATCAATGACAGCCAAGCTAACCCAAAAGTATACTGGAAGTTGTTGCGCATGCTCTGAAAAGGAAACCCTTCTACTGGTATACATCCACTACTTAGCCCTATTTATAACAATCTAACCACAGACGACTTTGTAAAATCTAACATTATATATAACTTCATTCAATCTGTTCCTGACCTAAATAACAAAACGGTAATATATTATAAACAACTAAACAGACAAATGCCTCTCTGAAGTTGTAATAATTGAACAAGAGGTTAAAGATAAAAATAAATAAAGCCGCTGGTTCTGATGGCATTAGTCATAAAATGTTGATAATTCTATTCAGTGAAATATCGATACCTCTGACACTTCTATTCAATGAATCCCCTCTGCATTTCCTGATCCATGGAAACTAGCCCATGTAACACCTATTTTCAAAAAGTGGAACCCGAATTAGCAAATAATAACATACTTTTTTCCTTAGTGAGTTGCATTGGCAAACGTATTGAACGAATAATTCATAAACATATTTACCTTTTCTTCTTCGAAAACAAACTTCTATATAATTTACAGTCTAGCTTTCTACCTAACCACTCTGCAACTTACCAAATTATTGAATTATATAATAGCATACTAAGAACACTAGAGGATCGTAAATATAAATCTCTTGTTTTCTGGGACTTTTCCAAAGCTTCCGATCGTGTCTTGCATAAAGGTTTGATAACTAAGTTAGAAAAATACAGAATAAAAGGGAAATTTTTAAATTGGATTAAAAACTACTTAAGTAGTGGACATCAGTCGTACTTTAAAATATAACATCTTCTGAAGTTCCTCAAGGCTCAGTTTTAGGACCATTTCTTTTTCTTGTGTGTATAAACGATGTTCCTAATTCACTTCTATCAATTACCAGACGTTTTGCTGACGACACCGCACTGGCGCACTCTTCTAAAAACTTACATAATAAATCAAGTAATTAACTATGACACAGAACAACTTCCCCTTTGTTCGCTGAAATAACTCATGAACTTTAATCCAAATAAAACTGAAATACTTCTGATTTCTAACACAATTGTATCTTCTAACCCTCAATTTCTTTTCGATGATATACCTATTCCTATTGTTACAAATCACGAACATTTAGGAGCGTTTATCTTGACACATGGAACTCTCACATGTAACACAGAGTATATCGCAACGTGTTTTCATTAGGCCATGGTTTGAATATGCCTGCGAAGTATGGGACAATTGTAACATTAAAAAATTCGTAAATTAGAGACCATGCAGTATGAACCAGGCAGAATAATAATTGGTTTAACTATTTTAACAAAAAAAGAATCTATTTACATAGAACTCGGATGGTCATCACTAGGCGTAAGAACAGAAAATTAGCATTGTTTTATAATCTTTACCATGACAATGCTCTTCAACATCTGAAATATCTTCTACCACCTATTGTAACAGACTTTAGTAATTACAACCTTAGAAACATGAACAACTTTCAAAACCCACACTACAAACTGCAAATTACAAAATCGCCTTTTATACCTAGTACTTCAGACTGCTGGAATAATTTACCACGAGAAATTAAAACATCAGAACCCATCAGACAATTCAAAACTCTTCTATTCCAGACTCTATCCCTCCAAATAGTAAGTGCTTTCTTGAATACGGTTTTTAAAAATAGATATTATACATTATTAATTAGGAAATCGCAGTAGCCCTTTATATTATGGCCTTTCTTTGGTCCATCTTTGAGACAATTCTATTTGCAACTGCGCACACGAACGAGAAGACTCGTCCCATTTCTTACTACACTGCAGAAACTTTGTCCATATCCGTATCGTAATGTTTCAATCTTTCAACTGGTGTAACGAAATTACTGTATCTTGATCATGATTGCAACTCAAACATTCAACTTTGTAGGTCTGTACGACAGTTCACTCTTAGTTCTAACAGGTTTAATACATAGCATAAACAACAGACATGTCGAATGACCAGGACACGTAGTTCGGCTACTTCTCTCTTACTATTCCCCTAATTTCTCCCTTTTTTCCATCCCTCATTCCCTTCGCACACTAACGATCCTTGTGAACTTCATTTCATTTTTATAATTCATTTTATAATAGATAATAATACCATTGATTGTACATTCACTAACGAACGCATGTGTGCTTTTTCCCAATCTGATCGGCTAAGTACCGAAGTAAAGAATTCTTTGAAAGGATATGGAATGATATAGGAAAAAGGCAATCGGGGCACGGGAAGTGATGTGACATTAGAAAAGTAGTAGGCAATGAGTGTGGATTAGGTGTATTATTTACGCCAATAGGACTGGGAAAATGTCATGTGCGCTCTGAGTAAAACCTATCGATGCGAATTCTATGTAAATCAGATGTTGATGTCAGGCTCCCTATGCTCATTCCTTTCAATAGGATCCCTACCTCTTAATTTAAAGCGTCCATGTATCTATATAAGTATCTACCTAACGAATGGCTATTGCATGTCACCATTGTATTTGTATATATTTATTTGTTATGGAAAGGGTGTAAGTAAGTTGCAATAACGTTTGTCCAATCCTGTTGTCTTTTGTTGCAATAAAATTGATTTAAACTAAACTGCAATGGTAGATACACGAAGTATAGCGCCGCTGAGCTGATTTTTTTATAATTTGGTCCATTAGCAGAGAGTGCGCCTACCTGGGTCTGTCAAAAATGCAGCTTTGAGAACAGGTCTTCTGTATCATGCTGTGAAATATGTGCCACTGACGCTGATCTAGAACAGGATGAGACCATTATATCAGATGACTCCAAAGAAGATTCCGCATTCTCCGGTTAGTAGTGTCCCATCATTTGGAATGAATATATATGTATCTCGAAAAATACCGAGAATTATCTTTTTTGATTCAGTAATTCTTCAAAAAAGTTTCAAGAAATTGTACAGCAGGAAACATAGTTTGTCCTTTCTAGAAATCGGTTTTCTTCAAATTCACCATTTAGAACGAGGCTTTCAAAACGGAATAATTATTATTAAAGTTGCAATGTTTTTACCTTGAATAAGAAAGAGTTGCAATACATTTTTAATCCTTTGAGCTCATTTGTGCCTATTCACTTTCTTTTGATTAGATTAATAAAAAGAATATAGGTAATGTTAAAGGGAAACAATTTAGTAAAAGCAAAACACAAAGAATGGAAAGTTTCCATGAATATTTGAGAATTTATTGCAGACTGATTGCCCTAGTTCTGGGTTTTAAATATGATTCTAATAACATGTAGGTATTTTCCTTGATGTTATCAGGGCAAATTGTGATAGAAAGATTCCACGATAAACTTTATTAATTTCTCGGGGAGGTATCCTTGCTGAAGAACAGAGAGTAACGAATTCAATTGCATCCACTTCACGATCTATTGATGTCACTTTTGCTGCTGCTATTGCTGGTTCTCTAGTTGATCTGCATCATGCATTAAACATAAGGAAGATAAATAATGATAATTAACACTTACATTATATAACCACATACTTTCTTTTATGTCTTGATCAATATATTTGTGATTACCTTATTCTCTCCAGTTTGGAGGTGTCAGAAATGCACCTATGACAACACTGTTACCATCAATGAATGCGAGATGTGTTTGGTGCCAAAAAACGAAAAACTCCAGTACTCGCAAACAGAGGACAAGAAGGAGGCTCTAGGTAATTTAGAATAAGATCCCTTACCTGTTTCAATATTTAAATCAACAGTATAATCATGAAGATAAGATATACGCCGGGATATATCATGTAGTGGATGTTTCTCTTTCTTCTCTATTCTGAATAGCTTCGCTGTCAGGTCTTTTTCCAAGTCAACAGCAGAAAGATTTTTTCAATATGTGTGTATTCCACTAAGGCTTATTCTTTGATTCAAATAAATAAATTTGGATGTACTGGTGGTAGTTTAATACAGTAGTTTTGAATATAACAACCCTCCCCCTCTTCCACCTCCTCAAAAGTATTAATGAAACATCCTCATTGCTTTTTGTTAAGATTATTCGTCTTTTCCACAGAACGCGAAACCAGGATCATCTTGATTGGTCGAACAGGCTCTGGGAAAAGTTCTACCGGAAACAGCATCTTGGGGAAACATGCATTTGAGTCCCAAGCTTCTTGTAGGTCTGTAACAACTCATTGTCGGCGTGGGAAAAACCGGCGTTTCAACAAGCTCATCCAGATAGTGGACACACCAGGGTTATTTGATACGGGTTTGTTTTCACTAGCTCTGTCTCTTTTTCAATTATTTTGGGCCTTTTTCCTTTCTAAGGCAACAAGTTAATACGCATATTGTTTTTAAAGCTGGAAAAATGACTAAACAATCAAGTCCTATTTAATTCTCTCTCATTCTAATACCCTTGTATTTGCGATTATTTGATGGGTTGATGACTGTGTAATGATATTACATTCTATCAAATCAATAGACTTAACTTACACATGGAAAACAATTATACGAATTATACTTTGTTCTCTCATTCCGGACGATTTTGGTGGATATACATTATATTACTAATAAAAAAGAAAGAAAAAAGCAAAGATACATATGATAATAGCTATGTTAAGGAAATTATAAGATAATTATTTTGTTTCTGACAGGAATGGATAACGACACCGTCACAGAAGAAATACTGAAGTGTGTTGGAATAACTTCCCCTGGACCTCATGCCATCCTTCTGGTGGTTGGGATCAACCGCTTCACAGATGAAGAACACGAAACAGTCAAACTTCTTCAGAAAGCATTCGGAATGAACATGATGAAGTACCTCATCGTTGTCTTTACCAGGAAAGATGATCTGATAAGAGATGGGAGAGACCTTGATGACTTAGTGAGGACGGCACCCCAAGCTTTACAAATGGTTCTACAAAACTGTCAGAATCGCTGCCTTGTTTTTAATAATCGTGCGGACGAGGCAGAGAATGAACAACAGGTTTTAGAACTCTTCCGTGTTATTGACGAAATGGTCGCTAAAAATAACGGAGCTTACTATACAAGTGATATATTTGAAAAGGCAGAGGAAGCCATCAATGAAAGGGAAATGGAGATCGTGACTGACCACAAAGCCACTGCACAGAAAAGGATGGATATTATAAGGCGTCAGTTATCAGTAGAATACCGTGACCAGATGGATAAGTCAAGAAGATACGAGAAGCGCTATGAGAGAGAGTTACAAGAGATAAGACAACAAAGGTTGAAATTATCAAAGCCACTACAGTGGACAGAGCATGGTTCCAATGAGGACGACGAAGCTAATCAAGATAGCGATGAAATTCTTCGCTCAAAGATTGCAGCTCTAGAACAGAAAATTCAGGTTGTTCACAAGCAACAGAAAGTGATTAAGGAATCAACTCAGATGACGCTGCGAGAGAGAGAAAAGGAGGTCATGGATATTCTGAAGGAAATATCAGCTCCTGAAGTTGTACGAGAGGATGTCCGGGGCGAAGTACAACAAGGAAACCCTACATTATTAAAGAAGATGTGGGTGAGCATAAGAGACATTGGTGATAAGATAGCTTCTGGTTTCATATCTATCTTTGAATTCATCAAGAAAAAGGTCACTGGCAGTTCTTTAAAATCTAACGCTTAGGACTGATGAACAAACTGAAAACATCAGAATTTCGGAATTGTGTCCAATATATTGAAGCTCGTTTAAGGAAGATGCCGATACTGCAAACGTAAGCGTACCAAACTTTAAAGGGAAGAGGTAGTTTGCAAAAGAACTGGATGGGAGAGCGAATAAGTTATAATGCTTTCCTTGTGAGGTCAATGTTATCGCAACATCAATTTTGATCCATGGTTTTATCGAAATGGTGTGTTTGACTTTGGCCAACCTGTCACCAAACCTTGTTTTGATATTGCTCTTTAGTTTTTTTCAGAATGTTTGCATGTATTAATATTTAAATATGATATCTAGTTTCCTATTTACACGAGTATCTTTACTCCAACACTTTACTTCATATTGTTAAATGATAAGTGAAAAGTGAATGGTGATATTTTCGTTATCTTAAACCAAAATCATTCCAGTTTCTGCACGAAGTTATTTTGATAATGAGTACTTGATGTGATAAGTAGTTTAAGTAACATATATGTGGTTTCCGTGTTGTTCAGATTATACAAATATGTCCTATTCTTTCGTATGCACACGTGTTTGATATTCAACTCTTAAATCACAAAAAAATACAAAGGACGTCACATACTGGCAGATTATCTCAATGCAATGGATATGAATCAAGGGCGACTTGTAACAGTAATAGGAAAAATCGAAACTGAAAAATAACCACGTGATGAATAGAATCTTAAATTCGTTTCGATTTCAAAAAAAAAAAAGTTAAAAATATATTTTTTCCTTTACATTTCAATTGAAATGGTTGCTTATTTAAGGTAAATAGTGTTTATAAACGTTTATAGGTCTTAAACTTAATATTCTATGTATCGTTCCAAATATTTACTTGTGTTCCAAATTATTATCTTGATTATTATCTACACTGTATATATATCATAATAAGTGTCAAATAACTTTCATCCGAATGTGTATAACTATATTCCTATGAAAAAAAGTGTAAATGCTAGACCTTAATTTGGTAAATTTTATTCATGCACCTATAAAGAGTAACCATTAATGAATATCTGATGAACTAAGTGATTTTGTTGGTATAATGCAATGTCTATTTTTATATATAATCAATATATTTTGTCACTTTGATATGTTTCTCAGCAAAATTTCAGATTAGAACTTTGTATGGACCGAGTTGACCGCTCGACTAAACTACCAGTAACAGAAATTATAATTAAACTGCAAGAACAACACTAATTGACAATCAATATTGTTTACAAGACCGAAATCCTTAAATTAAATTTTGAGTTTTATATTGGAACTTATTGTCAGTCATCTTCAATTTAAAAAATAAAAAAGTGATTTAAAGATGTGAATGTGTCATAGTTTTGAGGGTACATCTATACTATTTTTTCACGCCTTGCGTCTAATTTTGATTTATGAATTCGTATTTTATAAAAAAAATCACTATGTGGAGCATGTATGGTCTCAAACAAAAAAATATACACTGTTGTAATAGCAAATATTGTCCAAACAACAATAAGAAATTGCCTATGTCAGCAAAATTAAAATCTTGAAAAAATATAAAAAAAAAATAAAAGATTTGAGTTAAGTACGAGGAAAGTTAGATATTAAGTTCCACAAATATTAGCATCTTCTGCTTCATTGACAAACCCACCATGGGAATTTTGGTCAAACCAAGATATGTCATACTCTCCATATGAAAACCAGGTGAATGAAAAAAAAAGAAATAACAAGGTTTACCTTTTAATGATCCTCAAACATGTTTCTTCTTATCGCAAAAACAACTAAAACATTATCTGTTGGGGCCATACAAGTATATTGTACATCCTTCATTATGCAGTTCCTTTGAGCCAATATAAATGCAGTGTTTCAAAACCAAAGAACCCATAATTAAAGTGTAGTCGCCTGAAATTTTGTGGTTCGAATCGGCATGATTCATACATTTCTGGTTATATAACGATGTGAACAGCATCCGAAAAACGTTCTGCACCGGTTGAAATTTTTAGATATACTTTGCATTTTTCATCGCATCGCTTTGGAAAGTGTTAAGCAATAATATTACCATCATGTCAACAATTATAATTCAAGCTCAAATTCAATCAAATCGGGATAAAATATTAACAAAAGAAACATTTGAATGGAGATTCATGAAAAAAAATTACCAGGAGAATAAGGCCTGATGTTCCGGAAGTGTGAGCGTCATGGTCAATTCAAGTAAGTAATGTTACGTGCTCAAACAAGAAACAGACATCAAATACGTCCAGCTTCATATCGCACAATATTTGACAATGAGATCACTTTGTCAACTGTAAAATCTAATTTTCATCAACCTGTATCTTTTGAAACCTTGTTTGTTGTTTCGCGCAAGTTGAAACGTTTTGTTGACCGCAACTATGATCGGCTGTCATGACAACGATCCGGACAGTATCTGTATTGCTAACGAACAAAAATCCCAGCATCTAAATATAACCAAATATAACACATTATTTCATGTAGATGGTATCTATATATGACATCTATAAGTAAATTTCGGTCTGAGAGTTTGTATATCGACAATTATTTAATACTTTTGACGTCACCATTAGTCAAATGATATATAAAACACTGAAGAGTTCCATTACTGACAGATGGGCATTTACTCTGTAAATCACCCCAGAACACCGTATTATAAAAAAAAAATATTCATAAGAAAACACGTAACATTGGTTTTGGATTGGATTGTTATCATTCTGTCTTTTTGTTTTATTTTTTTAATGGAATTGTTCTGTCGATATATAGCCGTATTGAACATAACCGGGACATATTTATACTGAATCTGTAAAATAAAAAAATAAACAATCACGAGATTTTCATTTGTTTTTCAAATTACGCTTAATTTGTGTATCATATTTCTTTTATCAAAAAACACCAGTATACATAGTACTTTTAATTCATGGATCTTCCTTATAAGTATTTCAGATCCATCTTTCATAATAGGGTCAGCCTCTGCTCTGAGACATGGCTCTGTGTTTTCTATCCGCCATCATGCTCCATGTCAAAGTGAAGAATGTTGGTCAAAGCGGATACCTGCAAAACGTTTCATACGATGGATAAAAAAATCGATAAGGTTGGGAGTTCGGGTATTTCATTGTTAAAATAAGTTATGGGTTAAATTTCACTATAACATCAAAATTTTACAAATATAAAACTATATTTACAACAACGAAACATAATGACAATGTCAAGTACACACAATATCACACAAAATCATTTTTCATGAAAGATATTCGTTATGCTTGATTTCATATTCATATTATTGAATTTGCAGGTAAATATTCGAATTCAAAATTACATTTTTCAATAGCAATGACGCTTCACAAAATATTGTTCAACATTTATTTAAAAAATCTAAAACTAGGAACTGTAACGTTAAAATAGTGACTCATTTTCCAAACAGCGATCACCTTAACCCTTCTACGGTGTATATCGTTATCTGTCAGTGTTATACATACTTTACTAAGTGTGAACAACTACACACTATAATGATAAAAGGGACGACAACATGAGAACAGCAAGTGTACTTTTGGTATTGTGCACGCCGTTAATTCTGATTGGAACTTGCAAAGGTACGAGTTTACCTTATTCTTCAAACTTTTTATTACTCCAATGTATATGTACTTTTGTTTCGGTATACTTGAAGAGTTCGAATATTTGAAATAACTTAAATACTTTTACTTGAATACACAGGTAATACATAACGAGAAGGTTACACTTTTTTCTTGTTCATAACAATAATATTTTGCGATATTGTTCAACATTTCTTTGCATTTTAGTACGTATACATAATAGATTTGCATTATAAGATGATTAATTGAAAAGGCATGAAGATTGCCTATGGAATTCTGGTTTAACTCTGTTACTTAATAACTATAAGTTTATCTGTTATATGCTAAAATATCTTTAAACTTGCCATGTCAATTACTACACTTTATCATTTGTAAAAGACAAGATTGTATAGTGTGATATTCTTCACAGAATTATTTTCTTTACTGTGATATTAAGACACGTGAATACCATGATATAATCAAACACATCTAAATACGTTGCTATGACATTTCAACACACAGGGGAATATTAAGGAATGGTATTTAAACACATATAAATATGCTGCTATGACCAAACACATAAATGAATGCTTTGCTATGATATTCATCCATATATATATACTGTTTTAATGATTATCAGCTAACATATACTTTTAATGATATTCAGCAACATATACTTTTAATGAAATTCAGCCACACATACTTTTTAATGATATTCAGCCAAACATACTTTTTAATGATATTGAGCCACACATACCTTTTAATGATATTCAGCCACACATACCTTTTAATGATATTCAGTCACATATACTTTTTAATGATATTCAGACACATATACTTTTTAATGATATTCAGCCAAACATACTTTTCAATTACTTTCAGCCACAAATACTTTTAATAATATTCAGTCACATATACTTTTTAATGATATTCAGCCACAAATACTTTTAATGATATTCAGCCAAACATACTTTTTAATGATATTCAGTCACACATACTTTTTAATGATGTTCAGCCACACATGCTTTAAATGATATTCAGTCACATATGAATTATTTATGATAATCAAATACTTATGGCAATCTTACGGTAATATTTAAACCCATATGAATACATATAGATATTCAAACACATATGAATATTTTACAATGATATTTATAGATATATGAATACTTTACTATGATATATTATCACACATAAACACTTTGCTTTGATATTCCTATGATCTTTTTAAAATGATTTTATTCATAAATTTATTGATAAATTTTCGTATATAAATATAGAATTATCATAATTTTGACAGTGAATTCTGCAAGTTAATATCTTTTACGAAGTTAGTTTAATGCAATTGTCATGGAAACTAATAAGAAACACTAGCAAAGAAAAGATGATCTTGTGATATGTAATGATCAAGTGTGATGGGAATAGTTGTACTAGAACTTTATTGCTGATGTATGTGAACGTTTCAGCACAAATAAATATTAATGATACTTTCTTTTCGTCAATAAATGCAATTTTGTATTTCTTGATAAGAGAAAGAGTAGGTGCAAGGTATGTCAATGTTTATGTATAAATGACAAACAAATATTTACATATATTGGTATAAAGTGTTGACTTTTACTACGTTACCTAAACATTAGGTTCTTGCTAAAGATCTACTGTTTTACCAAGTTTTGCAGCATAATGCATTATATATTTTCCCCGTCTAATCCCTGACGATATCTTTTTAAGTGTAATATTGGGCAAATTATTTCGTACTTCATTGATGTCAAGTTTCTAGTGTCTTTTCCCAAGAAATACCAGTAAAATTTTGTTTTTGTTTTGTTTTGTTTTTTTTAACTTTTATTTGATACAAATACGGTATAACTAGATTAATTCTTTTATGTTTCTGACATAAATTTCAACATGGAGCTGCAGGAATGACATGTTCAAATATACACCGTCAATTTTTATTTGAAATGAATCAACACGGACACTTTTCACGACTGTACCCCACCTCGTGTGAAAACCTGTTGTGTCCATAGATACGTTTTATCTGTTACGAACATACTCGCTAGCACTGACAGTGTCAATCGTGAAATAAACACACTGTATGATAAGATCAAGCACCTGTCAATTAACTGGACAGGAACACCGCGTATTAAAACATTCTTTCCTGTACACTAGAAGTGCAAACACATACCTAGGGATTTTGTAACCCGCTTGGATTTTTAAATATTGATGCAGGGTATTTTCTTTAAAATGAATACCATCGCTGACATGTGAAATTGTCCTTCAAATTGTTTAGTCAATATCTGGTCTAATGAATATCCGGATAAACGAAACATGATTGAAATTCTTGGCACAAATGAACAAATCTTGTTTATAAATATTGAGTGAGTAGAGTTTAAAACGTTGATACAACACTCTTGAAAGGGGCCATTGACAGTTCGGTCTCATAATGTCATCTTGCTTTGAATTGTCACAAAATCAAGAGGGATGAGGAAGCTACAGAGAGTGAGAATTACATGGGAAAATGCATAATTATCAATTATCGTTTGAGGATGTTAAGTATGCAAAAGATTGACTCCCCAATCATTTTGATATTCAAGGTTGCTTCCAAAAACGCTTGTATAAATCAAGAGTTTCTGACAATATATAACTGAAGATGAAATATGAAATGCTTATTGTGACTAACCCCACCCTTCAGATGGTAGTATTTTGGCACGTGCGATCTGGATTCTAAGTCGTACTGTTGTAGGGATAGTATGACAACATTGTTATCCTTCCTAAATCCCAGAAATGGCACGAAGTGACTGTTACCTTTAGATGAGTAAATACCACTGAGTATAAACAGATGATGTTGATAATGATGATAATATTGATGAACTCGAGGTTTTAACGGAGGTATGGATTTAGTGACAAACTGGTAACATTGAAGACATTAAAGGAATGAAAAGGACAGGTGGTAATACGATGATACGTGATAGTATAATATATTGCCTAATGTAGCATTATGTATCCTGTGTCTGTAGAGACAGATATGTAAAACGGCACTCAAAAATGTAACTTCACTTTTTTCAATCCTTTCTCTTTTTTTTCTTAAATGAATAATGATGTTCTTGTTCAATGTAGATCTTATAACCCGTGTGTATTGAGAAATGACTATTTATGGTAATAGAAAACGAGAAGTGTATATTTTTCGTTATTAACGTATAACACTGTTTATATTTAGGCGTTCCCTCGTTCTCCTCGCCATCCACTTCCGGAAGTAGTCGGGTGTCTATCAATGAGGACGTTGGGATAGGATCGTCGGTGTACCATGTCAGTGCTTATGACTCCGGATATTATGTGATGTACAGCATCAGTTCGGGGTCCGGGTTCAGACTCTCGGGACAGACTATATACACATCGCAAAGATTCGACTATGAGTTGAAAAGATCTTATTCTCTACAAATTAGGTAACACTGCTTTCTCCTATTTCGCCTATTGTTTGATTAAGTAATTTACCCATATCCTATGGAGGCCCCATCCTTTCACCATTATCCGCTCGATTTTCCAGAAACTTTTACATAATGATAATGTTACCATGTATTTCTGATAATCTAAACATCACAATGAGTTGTTAATATTTTGGTGAAAAATTTGTCCAAATTTGATTTTGTCTTTGTTCTGTTTGTTGAGAATCACAAAAAAACAAAACAAAAACAAAAACAAAAAACAAAAACAAAAACAATACTGAAGAAAGAAATCAATATCTACCTTTCCAATGTTTTATAAATGAACAAAATATACAAAATACCATCAACAAAGTGGGTTGTATTTGTATTCAGAGGACAGATTTCAATATTTACACTTAAATACTCGCATGACACTTAGCTGTGAACACCTGTAGTAAAAAATTGAAACAAATTATGATTTTTGTCCTAAAATTGTAAATTTCTCTATAGAATCACTCCTTTGGTAGGTTGCCTACATTGCAATAATCAGGAATTATTTAGCGGAATGTGTTATTAGATGACAGATACAATGTATATGTGTACAGTCATAACTTATATACATATGTATTTATTGGCATTAATAATTTAAAAATAGGTCCAATGTGTCTGTACCACCCACCTGGTTTCAAATATACAACCACCAAATAATTAGTGATGTCCTGTCTAATCATATAAAATGATGTTGCCATTGTCACAATACACTGACCATATATATCTTTGCTGTGCTCGGCAGTGACGGAAAAAAAGTTGTGTGTTATCACGCCTGGTAATTCAGAAGAATTACTTTCTGAATTAAATTTAAAATATCGTTCAAAAATGTGAATTATTTTTTAATTAATTGTTATTATTTGTTGAAATGAAGAAATTTATTTACGAAAATTAATAAAACCACTTTCATATCCATTGAAGTTTGGAACTATGTATCTGCGCGGAGCAATTATTTTGGTGTACGTCATCAGGCAAAATTCAGCATAACGTTAACGTCAGGTCAACAAAGATAGAACAACGAAAATGTTGAAGTTTTGATGGTCTGATTTTCAATTAATGTTGCAGGATAAAAAGAATACACGGTCAGTGTCTAAAAACACTCGCTGCATTTTGACTTGTCTTTCTTTACCTTCGCCAAAATAAAGCTTATATTGTAAGACACTGACGATGTATTCTCTATGTAACGTCTTGCTTCTATTACTTACAATAGTCTAACCGAGTCTTATGAATTAAAATATGTATCTTTGGCAATGAAAGAAATAAGAAGATTCAAAATGGATATTCTCAGTCACCATTGTTTGGATCTATATTTGCCTTTTTAAAAGCTGGACCTTTTCCCTTCAATTTCTATTTGAAATCGTATGTTGACTCCGTCACACAGACTATCCCAAGGATTGGCGTCCCTATTTTTAGTCCGAGAATCCTGTAGGGATACCGTTGTCCAATCCCAGTTTTACTCTCGTCATTGCTAAAGTTTGACCATGCGTCAAAATCTTTTACGTCAACTGACGTGGTTGGCATGGAATACAAATGGTCATGACGCCATTGTTGACAACTCGAAGTACTTTTTATCCTTTATGTACAGAAGAGTTCTTTTTTGCACAACATGAAATCTACACCCATTGCAAAATGTCGGTACACAAATAGGAAGTTACATCACTACAATACAATTCACATTACTTGTGAATTACGTAGGATTGAGTCTCTGTAAACAAGGAAATCAAACGAAATGCAACATGATCGTTAAAATCGAAAGTAACAAATACATTTCCTTCTTGATACAGATAAGCAAGATGTGAGCCAGGAAATCTTCCGTGATTTTTTTATCACTCTGTCCTACATTTCGTATTTGCACTTCTAACTTTAAGTGATATTGTTTTATAGTGCAACATCAAGGGGAACCATAGCAACAGTTCCGTTGACTGTTAATATTGTGGACGTTAATGACAACTCACCTACTTTTAATCCAACTGTGTATACGAATACTATTCCTGAAAACTCACCCGCAGGTAAACAATAGTAAAATAGAAATGTGTTATATCTAGTAAAATGTTTTCTTCTAATATTTCATTTATATTCATATGTCTTGTTCATTCAGTGTAAGCGAATGTGGAAACACATTTAGATTTTTATATTATTACTTCATATGCTTAAATTAATAAGTATTAAAATTGTTGAAACCAAAAAAATGCGAGTCATAACGTGTCATTTGTGTAATGAAACTGAGATTTGGTAAACGTACGTAAACCATGGAAAGTGATTTACAGGAACATCTATCACCACCCTGCATTGTCGAGATGACGACAGTGGTTCCAACGGATACTGCTCTCTCAAAATCCAGACAGGAGATGACGCGACAAGAAAATTTACGATTTCCGGTACCACTTTAGTTACCACTAGTGCAGCCATCAATTTCGAGGGACTTTCATCACGTGACCGATCGTATTCCCTGGTTATCATCGGCGTAGATTCGCCATCACCATCCGGGTATGCTGCAAGAACAGGAACAGCATATGTCTACGTAACTATCACGGGAACGAACGAGTTCCCTCCCGTGATATCTGGAACCAGTTCGAGCTCTATAACTGTAAGTTTTGTACTCAATAAACTTATTTCAATATGTTTAACATATAAAACTCTGATGTTAAGCTTTATTATGAATTATTGTAATATTTAAACAGGAATATGAACTTTTTAAAATAGTTCTTTATTTTTTACTCTTCATCATAAACCGTTCGTTATAAATGTGAAAATTTCTGTAAACTAAAATGCCCTTTTCAACATAAAAGATGTCTTCTTCGTTTCATCATGTGTACCACAAAGTAGATTGTTGTTAGTTTCGTATTTATCGATGTTAAAGGTAAGTGAAGACAGCCCTATAGGGACCACAGTTGCAACCGTCCAGGCTACCGACGCTGACGACGGAGAGGACGGTGTTCTCAAATACTCAATTATAGGCAAGTTGATCCATACAACTGTCTGTTGTATCTATTCATCCATAATCTATTGATGTGTTTCGAGTAAGTCTTGTACCCAGTTACTGACAATGAAACACCAAATTCTGGCGTTACTGCCTTTATACGTTATTGTCATCATATTATTATATTGATAATGTAATTTGGGGTTCTTGCATACCCAATCAGTAAAATCTACCATGGCCAATATCTACTTCTCTGACTATCATACAACTTAAAAATCTTTGTTTCATTGCTTGTGGAAACTAATAGTGTTGTCGAAGGTCTATAGAATACCATCACAATTTTATCTTTGTTTTTTATGCTGACTTAACGGTCTTCCGTGTACATTTTTTTCTTTTGTTTTGTTTTTGTTTTTTTCTCAATCATTTTGTCCCGATTCTTTTCGAAAATGTGTTCACTGTTTCGATTTTATTTCGTTATCGGAAATGCCTACAGCCGGCGACCCTAGTGGCCGCTTTGGAATAACTATCGACACCGGAACGATATACCTTAAAAAGCCCTTGGATTTCGAATCCACCTCGTCATATCCGCTGACGTTAAAGGTTGCTGACTGCGGATCAGGTGTTTTATCGTCCACTTCCACCATCATAGTCGGCGTAAACAACGCCAACGATAATGCTCCAATTTGTACACCCGGAATACACGTCATTTCCATCCTTGAAAATACAGGTGTTTAAATTGAAATATTTTTACTTTAATATATACTTTTTTGTATTCTCCTGGAATAAAACTTATGACAATTATACTTAACCGAAATAAGTTATTAATGCAAAAATAGTAGTTTTCTTTATTTTATTGTGAATGAAAAAATAAGAAGAGAAAGATAAAAAAAAAATATTGATGCAGGTTTTAATGCAAAATGATCTTACATTTGATTGTTTTTAGAAATACTTTCGTTATAATGGGTCTAGCTTTTGCTTATATTTTCATTTTTAGCCCATCTGTCTACGGTGATATCCAACCTCGGATGTACAGATGCAGACCCCGGGACGACGTTAACGTACACCATGACACAAAACCCTGATAACAAGTTTTCAGTCTCCAAAGTCGGGGCTTCAGCATCTCTTGTTCTCAATGGTAAACGTCTCAGATCTTTTCTCTCAATTAACTTACACTATTTGGAACAAAAACCGTATCCTGTTTGGAAATTTGTTTAAGGCCACAAATCTCATTCAGAGTCTAGCTCTTACTTCTGTATATTCAGCTTACTAGTCTGAAGAAACTACAGTTGAACTATATCCTTAACACATTTTATCTCTATCATTTCTTCCTGTTTCTCAAATACAAGTGAAAATATGATAATCGAAAGATTTACACAGAGACTCCCGAAAAAGTACAAATGTTCAAAAATAAGACCACGTGCTAAGGAAGGATAAACTTCTAGAGGTTCTTGTAGCATATCAGAGTCTAATAAAAGATCATCTCCCCACTGTATTCATGTAAATATTGTGTCATTTTAAAGTGCGAATGAATATCATGACATTTTTCTTTTGTCTTCATTATGTCCTAATTCAGATATCGTAATCCTATACTTACTTTCAAAAATCTCACTCCTCATTATTGTCACATTATTACAGATATTCTGGACTATGAAACAACATCCTACTATAACCTAGAGGTGACAGTGACAGACAATGGGTACCCCTCCCTCTCCTCCTCAATATCAATCGACGTCACAGTCCTCAACGTTAATGAGGAGAAGCCAGTGTTTACAAACACAGGTAACGTGGTTTTATATACAAATATGTATTAATCGTTAACGGTGCACTGAGTGCTTTTATACTCATTATAATATATCATATTTAGTTTTAAGATTGATTAAAAACCTTTACTGACGATATTGTCACTGTATATCTGGTGACGCCACAATGCATATGCATCCACGAAGTTATGGCGTCACCATGGTAAAAATATATATTTTTTTTTTTTTTTAATTTTTGTATGGTTTTTTTGAAGGGTTGGAGTGGACATTATTCTTATTTGTTATAGTTACAAGTTCTTGTGTGTGTAGAGACAGGTTCTTGTATGTAAAGTTAAAGTCACATAGGTTCTAGTATTTATTGTCAAAAGGTAACAATACCTATAACGTAAGTATAATATTATCAGATTCACAAGAATTAATATATTCACGTGTCTGTTTCAGCAACGTTTACCTACAATGTTTTAACGCGATACATAAACGATTTCAATGTAGCAACTTCCAGTGGGAACTGAGTAAAAACATCATGTTAACAGTACCATTTAATTTACTTATATTGTTAATTTATTCGTTGATAATGAATCCAGGTCCCTACATGGTTACTGCTGGTGAAGACACTGTCATTGGGTCTAAACTCTTAACTGTCACTGCCACGGACAGGGACGCTGGAGATACCGTCACATATGATTTCGTTACGCCGTACCCTAATTTCAACATTGATCACACCCTGGGAACTATCCAGCTGGTCCACAGCCTTAATTATGAGACAGACTCTAGCCATATATTATTGGTAGAGGCATCAGATGGGTCGCTGAGTACCACTGCAACTGTCAACCTTACGGTGGACGACGTCAACGAAGCTCCAGCTTTCACACAGTCGACTTATACGTAAATTTTTACTAAAAATATACATACTACAAAAAAAAAAAAAAAATAAATAAATTCATTTTGATATTAAATGTGATAGATATAATAGAGATGATCTTTTGTTTCACATTTTAGCTCTTTTAAAACATCTAACTAAATATCACTTCCCTTTTACTGTTTGTACTGTTTACTGTTTTTTTCTTCACTTAACTTTCTTTCAATTTTTATAATTTTATGCACCGATTTGACTATTTTCATTGAGGCAAAGACATTTCAATTTTTATGGTAACTTCTTTTTGTATTTGTGTCGCAAATGATGTTAATTAATCCTAATAACAATATCTATGGTAGGGTTAATCTGGTGGAGAACCGATCTGTAGGAACGACTGTGGTGCGTGTCTTAGCCAGAGACTTAGATGCTGGGGCCAATGGAAGGATTTCTTACTCTTTATCAGGGGGAGACGGAATTTCCAACTTCGTCATAGATTCTGATTTTGGCGCCATTTCGTCATCAGCAGTTATTGACTATGAAATGAACAAGTTTTTCTTTCTAATAGTACAGGCATCTGATGCAGCCTTGCCTTCATTAACAGCTCGTTGTTTGGTGAACATTAGAATTATCGATAAAAATGACAACGCCCCTGTGTTTACACCAGTAACATACACAGTTATTGTCTCGGAGGAAGCCGCTATTGGTACCACAGTCACCATAATCAGTGCAAGGGATGCGGACTCCGTCGCTAATAACAACAACTTGTTCGAATTCAGCTCCATATCCCATGTTCCGTTTACTATACACCCGACATCCGGAGTCATTGCTACCAACGCACAGCTGGATAGAGAAATAATTGCTGTGTTAGTATATTACAATACCGTAACTTCTTTTTAATTCATTCTTAAACCCTTCCATGTCGCAGAAGACCTGTAAGCATTTCGCAGCAACAGGCTCAACAGGCTTATGAACTATGCTTTGACTTACAGATGTTCAATTAAAAAAATGTTTTAATTGATGATAAATGCTCCTAAATGCCTTCAGTTTGGCATCTGTAATAAAGCGTGGTATAATTCAGTTTAATTCATTATTTTTTTTCTCTAATGCATCTTATTCTGGATATGTGTTTAAAAGTACGATGAACTTGTTTTTACTTTTGTACGATCTTCTAAAGTAATAATGTGTACTATATGTTATCGTATTTCATCCGGTTTCGTGCGTTAATTTGTCACTGAAGCGACTTTTTATCAAAAACGAAAATACCCTAGATGCTAGATATAAGGCCTGAAGCATGCTGGGATTAAATGCGACCAAGTTTGTTCAACGAATGACCTCGACCTACTTTTAACTGGTTCTTCTCAATAACCGAAAGGCACATGGTGTTGATATTGCTCCTATAGCTTGCTGGCGTATTCCAAGTGTGTTCAAATGAATGACCTTGAACCCCTTGAAAAGTCACTTAAGTCAATTTGTTAAAATCGTTTACAACCTCTAAACAACGGGCATATTGCTCTGATTTCCGCCCTGCAGCTGGAAAGACGGCTGTAGAGTTTGTTCAATAAAAGGTTACCTTGACCTACTTTCAATGTCACAGAGATGAAATGTGTTAAAATCGTTAAATGATTTCTTTTTAATAACCAAAACATCCATATTGATTACATCTTGCCTTAAGCATGCTGAAATGAAGCACTTCAAAGTTTATGAGAACTTTACCTATTTTCTCAACACGCAATAGGTTATGGGTCATGGTATTTGTGTAGTAGCATGTATAATGAATGGTATTTAAAGTTTTTATATATTTATTTTGTAAACAAAGTCTTTTTTTACCTGTAAAACAGGTGAGTAATTGTAGGTATTTATAGTCAGATGACCGTTTAGGCCTACGAGCCACTTGTTAATACGTTAAATCCTCATTACGTTTTGGGGTCAACGAAGTAAAATGAAATTTCGACATTCGATCTTTGGAAATATTTCAACGGATAGATCCAATACAAGATTTTTATACAGTTCATGAAACGAAATGAAGAAGCTGTATTCTGTTAAACTTGGCTGTTGTTTGTTTCCATTGGTTGTAGATGGTTAAGTTTTAGTATCCAAACTTTTGGAATCTTGCCAATAGCAGATAGTTTATTACTTCATCTGCAAAAATTAATCATATATGCTCAATGATGCTTATATATATAAAAGAGGACGTATTCTGTGGAAAAACAGGATTTACCCATATTCTCTATGTTGACGTGTGTATTACATATTTTTGTTACAGATACAAGATGGTGATCCTAGCGACAGACAAAGGAACACCTCCTCTGACCGGTACCTCTACGATAACAATCTCTCTGACAGATGTAAACGACAACGATCCTAGTATATCTGGTACCTACGATAGCACGATAGACGAGGACACCGCCGTCAACACCGTCGTGTTCTCAATCACTGCTACTGATCCAGATTACGGCAGAAACAGTCAGTTATCATATATCATTCACTCAGGAAACACCAACACAGACTTCAAAATTGAGACTAGAACTGGAATTATACAAACGGCAAATAAATTGAACAGGGAACTAAATTCATTTTATAAACTTCAGATTTATGTTGTCGATAACGGAACACCACCTCGGACCGCCAGCATCACCTGTACACTGACCGTAGGAGATGTGAATGACAACGCCCCAGTTTGGGTCAAGCAATCGTTTGAGTTCAGCATTTCTGAAAATGATGCGGCAGGTTCTAGTGTAGGTTTCGTTAGAGCTACAGACCAGGATATTGGCATGAATTCAGTATTAACCTATACCATTATCAACTACTGGGTCGGTGGTTCAAATCCCTTTGTGATGGATAGCTCCTCTGGTTTTATTTCATCAATTGAGCCTCTCGACAGAGAAATCGTCGACACTTTTATTCTGTGGTGTAGGGTGTACGACGATGGCTCTCCAAATCTCTTTGCAGATTCAAATGTAACGATTAAAATTCTGGATTTGAATGATAATGACCCAGTTTTTGTAATGACACAATACTTCGGAATTGTCAAAGAAAATTCTCAAGATGGTACTTCAATTCTGAGTGTATCCGGCACAGACATCGATACAGGCATGAATGCCCGGTTGTCATACTCACTGGATAAATCTACAAAGACAGGAAAGAGAGTGTCAAAATACTTACAAATAAACTCATCAACAGGTCTCATCGACGTCAAAACTTCGATCGATCGTGAAAAAGATCCGTCCCTTTCCGTCACAGTGCTTGTTACTGACGCTGGAACACCGCCTAGGACTGGAACATCGAATGTCTCTATTACCATTCTCGACGAAAATGACAACAATCCCAAATTCGTTAAGGCATTTTATAATGCAGAGACCCCATACAGTGACTCCTGTTCCACTGTGATTGACACAGTCACTGCTTCAGATGCAGATGAGGGGCCAAATGCTCTCATTTCCTACTACTTCGACAATTATGACGAAGACTTCAGTTTAAATGCGGTAACAGGTAAATTTTCTTTTGCCTTTCATCGATATGTATAATTGTTTATGCTGAGTTATACTATAATTCTATAATTACTCACACGAGTTTTTTATGTACACTGACGGTCTTCCATCAACTTCTGAAAAAAGTACTAAATATATGGCTTATGTTTAATTCCGTTTTTGCTTAAAAGTATTTATCGACAGAAATTCAACAAATAAGTTCTTAACTGTTTAGAACTGAAATAACAACTTGAAATATTGAAAATTTGAAACAATACATCTATATTGTTTATGTTATCGTTGATTTAATCCATCGTGAACTCACAACTTTACACGTTCCATCGATTGTCAAGTTTTCTTTTATGATTGTAGGTGAAATCAGTGCCTCCCGAGAGTTATCAACAGAGAAGAAGTATATCAAGTTTGTTCTCGCTCGCGATAACGGTAGCCCAGAGTTGAAAACGACGTCTAAAGCCACAGTTCGTATCGACACTTATCGACCATCTAGCGTTGTCATTTCTTTTCACCTCAGTGTAAACAAAAGCTACTTTGAGTCTGTTGAAAACGCGTTCGTCTCTCAGTTGACCAGTGTATACCATGCTTCGTACCCTACAGCGGTGGTCAGAAGGTGGTGTGTAACAGAATCAGACAGGTAATTATATTAGTGTAATCGGCAAATGCAGGCTTCTTTTTTTTAGGATGCATATTATTGCAATATTATCTCCACTTAAAAAGAGCTCCCACATTTGTTCTTTGGTTTGCAATTACATCCAAAGTGGAAGCGTAACATCAGTATTAATCGTTAACAACTTCTGTGAAACATTTATGGAGCTACAAGGAGTGATTTTCATATTTAACAAGTATCCTTTTGACTTTTACTATAAGAATATAGTACAATATAGAATAAAACCAAAACAACATAGAACACAGCTATATATAACAATAAAGATAAAACTATATATAACAAAAATCATAAAAAAAAATACCAACATGGCAACATCATCATAATTCAAACTTAAATTCCATAAAACTAGGGCAAAATCTTAACAAGAACAAAAGAAAGATTTACAAAGAGACTCCTGAAAAAGTACATGGAGAATAAAACCAAGTGTCCCGGAAGAGTAAGCGTCTTCTGCTTCATCGACGACACCCGTCATGTAAACCTTGTAAGTAATGTCACGTTTTCAAATGAGAACAAGGTATACAACAACGGAACCAACAGGCAAACTAACGAGCATCAATACGTCCAACTTTATGTTGCACGAAGCAATAGAATATTTCTTAATGAGATCACTATGGCAACCATAGAAATTCCCCATAATTTTCCTCAACTTGCATCTGTTTAACCCTTGTGTAACGAGTAATCAATTTGACATGTATATACCATAGGTTAGAAATGCGGGGTCATTGCCATCAAGAAATGGATATTCCACAAATGGTAAATTGAAATCATCACGTTTATCATACAACTCGAAGACTGTCCATAGTGGTTTGGTTGTTGGAAAGGATCGAGATAAGCACCAGATGTTTGATTTCCATTTCTAGTGGATATTTACGATGGACGTAGTCAATAAATTGCTTGTTATTTGAGGACAAGACGTCATCAATATGTCTGAAGGTGAAATTAATCGGCTATGCAAGGTTTTTGCTTGATAAACTCTGCAATAAATTCAGCCTCGTGTGAAAACAAGAACAAGACAGCCAACAGAGGGACGCAGTTGGTTCCCATAGGTATGCCAATAGTCTGTTGACAGATCTTACCATCAAATTCGACGAAGATGTTGTCAACCAAAAACTAGATCATCTTTATGATTCCGTCCAGATAGCACTTAGAGTGGTGGTTAGTAGTTTTGACAGTGGCTTGGTTGTTAGACGAGCCAGCTATAAAACATGTGTATAGATTCTTGTGAAGTTTATGGATCCAGTGTAAACGGCGGAGGTCCGTATCCTTATCAGTAATAGGCAATCTAAATGCAATACCGAAGAATGATTAGCTAGTATTTCGTCTTTTGAAAGATTCACAATGTATAGGCAAGGTTTCCTTTGTTACCAAGCAAGCCCACTTCCTGTTTTGTATACAGGAAATGTAATAATGCATAAAGGGATCAAGTTATTGGACGCCTTGTCAACAGAATCCACAATCCATGAATCTTGAAATTCACATTCCAGTTAAAAGACGGGGTTTCACGATATTTAGGACCCTTCATGGAAAGCTCTCGTAGCTAACATTTTGAATAATGCTTAAATCACCAGTTACTATGGGCCTAGTTTGACCATAGTTATGAGTAGAGATAAAACAAGAACAAACTCACGGAGAAATAGTTCTAAGGTCATCTACATTCAGTTACTGCAGTGTTTGTTTGTAGTTGGACTTAGAGTAACTGTAGGAAATTACAAGGGTGTTTCTACTTTGAAAGTATGTTGGAATGTTAGCCTAACCAGACTTCTGGTGTAAAATATCGCTGATGTTTATAGCATCAACTGCCTTATTTACAAACTCAACATTCCTAAATTGGTGAGTTGTTGGAGGATCGCGGCCATCTGTAAGGACAGATTTTAAGAGCCTGACTTGTGCCACTTCATCAATAATATTATGGAGTCTCCAAGCTAGTTTCTACAGGTCACCAGAAACAGTATTGACTGAATCCACTTGAAGCTTTCGTAGCACGGAGAAAGGAAGCCATATGGCGCAGCAGTGTCAAGCAGTCTAATATAGTGTTCCTCACATTGTTTACGGAGGGGTGTGCTCAGTGTGCGCTCATTTGTACCGTGGTAAACTTTCCCCAAAATACAACACTCATCAACATTTTGGAATAGTTCGGGAGGTTGAAATGTTGATACAAACATTATTATCTCTGTGGTTCACAGCTGAACGATGACCATTCATACATTGTCTTAACGTCTTAACTGTTCTTTTGTTTCACCAACATATATTAAACCACAATTGGAACAGAACTATATATAACAACATGGAATAAACCTATATATACCAAAATAGAATAAAACTATATATCTATACCAAAATAGAATAAAGCTATATATAACCACACGGAATAAAACTATGTTTATCAAAATAGAATAAAGCCATCTATAACAACATAGAATGAAACGATTTACACCAAAATAGCATAAAATTATATATATATATATATATGACAATGCCAAAATGATGTATTAGTTGACGAAGGTAAGCGATATTTCCTAATTTTTAAAAGATTCATAACAGTATGACATATATTTTGGTTTTGCCATGTGATGCAAGTGATTTTTAAATTTGGTTTTAGATGTTACATCTTTATGCATGATGCCATATAGAAGTGATGATTCTTCAGTTTACTGTTATGTTTCAGTGTCACCGTTGTCAACATTTACATACTCCAAGACGATACAACTAATTCTATGGTCAACCTATATGCCAAGAAAACATTTCTTACTGCTTCGGATGCACATTCCTATGTTACAATGGACGCTGAAGGGACACCGTCATATAAAATTACAGGTATCAAAATGGACACATCTAGCTAAAATTCGTGTTGCTGGTATGAATAATTACTAGATTATAACATCAGTAATGTGGTGTATTGATATTTTATTTAAGTATATTCATAACGAAATCGTCAAAATCTGAATCTGTGTCGTCGATAAAGCAGGAGACGCTTACACTTCAGGAACACCTGGTTTTATCTCTATATACTTTTTCAGGAGTTTCTGTGTAAATCTCATTTTTGCTCATATCTTGCCCTAGTTTTATTGAATTTAAGTTTGAATTGTGAATATGTTGACGTGTTTTATTTTCAAGTTGTTTTCATTTCTTTTGCTATTTAACTTTGATTTCTTTCACTTTTGCCTCCTAGCATAATTTCTGTTTTTGGTTTTTATAGCCCAGGTTCTCTTTTTGAGCGCATTGAATGAGATTTGATACGACTGAGAGAATTCGTCAGTGCAACAAATGATACCTGATAATTATGTATTTGTCATTTATATTTCTTATCCAAATACACACCATTTGTGCATTGAAACACGAGTAACGAATATAGACAACGCTGTATACACGACACTATTTGAAAACTGTACGATTTCGTCCACTGTTATTCATTAAAAAAGCTCTTTCATTTCTAATTCAATTTTTAGCCACCTTTTATTTCCGTCACGTTCGTATTGATTTGTTAAGAATATGGCACTTTTTCGCATTTTCATTTCAACATTTGAAATCGTTTGACGGTTTCGACATTCTAGGAGGTGAATCATACAGAGTAAGCTTATTTCTCTCCTCTAGGTACATCCTGGCTGCCATATCACATCCAGAAGGTAGTAGTATACGAGACATCCAGCTCCGATGACACTACCCCATGGATCCAGACGAGTACCGGTATCGCCGTGACAGTCGTTTGTGGTCTAGTGGGTGTGGTGCTTATCCCCCTTGTCATCTATATGGTTGTGAAGTTTATTAAATCAAAAAGGTGAACACTATTATTTCCCAAATGGTAGGAAATGTTGAACTTCACTCACTTTGTTTTCCTGGATAGCTTGAATTCTGTCTTTACCAGATGGCGTATTTTAATTGCTTTGTGTTAACAACCGGCTAATTACCTTCTATTGATCAGAATTATCACTGTTAAAGCCCCAATATACGTAAAAATCACTATAAAAAAACAAACTTTATCTTATTTTCCCCGTAATATATGTAACAAAACAAATACTTTCCTTTAATTAAAGAAAATAAAACTGACTGTTTTCAATTTAAATAAAAATTGAAAAAAATCGGAAAATAAACAATGTGGGACCCACACTAATTCATACATTACCGCTCGTAGCGATGACATTGCGCATGCGCATATTCCGCGAGTATAAACATGGCAGACACAGTACAGACGTCCACCAGTCGCTTCCTTTTTTTTCTAATCATACATCAGGCCAGTTCTTAATTTTTACGTTATAATTGTGCGTCGTATCGTTTCTAAACTAATTATTCCTTCTAATAATTTCCCAAGAACTGAATGTTTATCACAGGAATACCTTAAGTCTACGACAAGACTTCGCAAACAATGTTTGTAAACAAAATCTTACCGTAGACATATCAGCATGTGCTTCCTCTATAAGTAGAAACCTCAACTCTCGCGAGATCAGGTCATGAACTTTCCGACGTGGTTCGGCAACAATCGTAATTTCGATGGCGGCGTGTTTAAAATGGGGGTGTGTTTACAGACAGCGAGTTTTAACTGCTCATATATCAATACTTTATGCAGAAAGTCATGGTAACTATTGTTTGAATAACTTAATTCTAACTACGTCTTAGAGAATATCTCAATAATTATGTGTGATTTTACACTAAATTTTTGGTGAATGTTACGTATATTGGGGCTTTAAATACATCCGTTATATTTATTTTAACACCTTACAAACGAAAACATATAAAATAAACGGCGATGTAGAATCACTGTTTAACGGTATAAAATACTGAACTTGTACATTTTTTTAATTATTTTTATTTATATGATACATATTTACTTCTGTGTTGATTAGTAGATTGTCTGACGAGGGTTTACCAACCAGGCTCTTATACAGATATATTCTGAGCTGATCTTTCATTCAGTTCAATTTCTATTGCATTATGTAACGAAATGACCCGTCCTCTGTAATTGCTTCTGATCTTGAAATTATGACTAAGTATCAAAAGATATATGCATAAAAATAAAATGATTCTAATAAAATTTTAACAAAATCGGTGATTGTTTTCTTAAATTAACATAAAATAAATCAACGTATAAGGTATTGTATATATAATTTCAGATCTGTAGATAAAACAGCACGGGTTGCCGTAGAGGAGAAAACGAATCCCTCGACTAGCAAGAAACGATCGCTTTCAAATTCCAAAGGTAAGTTTTTTTAAAACCTAAGTTCTGGTATAAGTTTTATTGCTGTAATCGGCATATTTTTTTTAAAGTAAGACAGGTCAAATCAGAATGAAGCCATCAAGTCAAAATATTGTTATTTCATTTACCCTTATGCTATAGATTATTGTTCTGTAATTTTCTGTAGAATAAATTTGTTTGACTGAATTCGAGTATTTTAAAATCCCTATCAATGCAAGATCCAAGTAAAAATAAAACAAACAAAAAAATATCCTGTACATAGGGAATATTACATTCCAGAAAGAAATTATTTGTACATTATCCAAATGAAGGATGAATACTTTAACGAGTAACAATACTAAATAAAATCGTTACAATAAAGTACAACACTGAATGTAAACTCTATATCTGACATGGCACTTTTTTGTATCAATTTAGTTATGTAAGAGTTATTTCCCTTGATTTGTGAAAAACTGCATGAAAATAAACATTTTACTGTATTGCTAGGTCCGACAGGAAAAACTGTTAAAACCTCGGTATGTATTTTTCAACTTTATATAAATGTTTTGGATAAATGTTTACACTTAATTATTTTTAATTGTGTCAGATATGATCACTGATAATCGTTTTTATTAAATTCGTTATTTTTGGTAATTAGATATGTAAACTAACGGTAAGAAAGCACGTGAAATTTAAATCAACTTAAAAGTCTCCGGCGACGATTTTTGGCAGATATCTATAATCACATATAATTGTAATTCTGAGATCTAAATATTTTGAACTGAAGTATTGTTATCAAATTAAAGCGACAAATATCATGTCTTGTTTGATCCACAGATTCCGCTACCAGCAAGAAATTTTGAAGAAGTCAACAACTGGAGTAATGAATGGGCTAGTAACTATCAGTCAAATATATGATTAGGTACTTAATTACAGGTAAAGATACTTGATATGGTAAGGTACTTAATTGCAGGTAAACGTAATTAATTTGAGTTGGTAATGAATTACAGGTAAACAAGACTATTATGATTAGGTATTTACTTACAGGTAAAAGTAACATGATTATGTACGTAAATACAGGTAAACATAAATAATATGCCGTTTATATATCGTTTTTTTTTCTTAATTGTTTTGGTGTCGTGTGCAAATAATACTTGTACCTACATGCATTATTATCTCATTGTAATTCAGGACAACCAACCAGTTTATTTGATGGAATCAAATAATCAAATATTTTACTTTTTTGTGAAATGTAATACTAAAAATTTCCTTATTACTTTGTGTTTGATAGTTGCACTATCTAAAAAGGTTCGCATTTTAAATATATTGAAGACATCTTATATATGATCAAAGCTTTACGTTATCACTTTTTAATAAGTTACAGGTATTTATGTTTTTTTTTTGAAACACTTTATCTATATTTAACTGCTTGCCTCTGCGCATTATAGACGAGTGTCGAATATAGGAAATGACACAGAAATTAGTGGCTTTATTATGCTAATAGCATCGAATTACAGATAAACATAAAAGGTTTATCTGGTTTGTAAGAAATGGTGGGAGCTATTTAAACAGGATCGAGATATGAATTTTTATTTCAGATGTGATTTTAGTGAGCCTCAGGAGGAAAAAAAGAAATTATGATTCTCATGAATCATAAAAAATGGATCAGAGTTTAAGATCGCTTACTCAATGTTTCGTGGTAGTAATTGTAACGTCACAGTATAACCTTGTGATTTCATCCTCTAATCCTGAGGCCATGATATGTCATAATCAATGGTTTCATATGTTAAGACAGTACATGATCAATGGTTTCATATGTAAAGACAGTACATGATCAATGGTTTCATATGTAAATATATTACATGATCAATAGTTTTATTTGTAAAGACAGTACATAATCAATGGTTTCATTCGAAGGATATTACATGGTTATTTTCTCTAAATAGTTTGGAAAAGTTTGGCAATTAAAAGTAAAATACTATAAGTAAACTAATCAAAAACTTGCTATATTCGGGGTGGGGGCGGGAATCAATACATTTCCTGGTTCTAGTCATTTAGTTTGTAGCTAACGAAGATGGGGTTCAAATGATGATCTGTTTGATGCAGATGTATCGAGTCTAAAGTAATACGATATTGTCTTACGATCTAGTCGTAATGATTGCCTACCCACTGATTGAGATAAATTTGGTAAACATATAATTACGTAGGATAACGATCTGAAAACCACACCTGGTTTACGAAAATGTATCACCAGTCTGCATGCATTAGTCAACAACACGAGGTAGTGTTACAAGGAAGGGTCACTGCCTCCTTGTACTACTCATCCCTCCCAGATAACATCGGCGGATTTCCTAAAATACAAACACACGTGGAAACATAGTATTTACTCCGCATCTAAAACATCATCCTTAGTATGGGATTTCCGTGTCTTTAATGAACCAAGTACCTATCGCCCTAAACACATCTGAAATCTAGTATTTATATAAATGTGTAAAATCCAGTAATTCTATTATTCAAATGTATATGAATTTTAATATTTTGATGGCGACTTCAGATGTGTGATGTATTTAGCTTTTAACTTTCTTTATCGATATTGTAAACGTACTAACATTAGCGGCTGTCAAAACTCGTGTTTTTACCATATCAGACAGATCAGACATATCAATTGCAGATTAATTTCCAACTTTTAGCAAAGATAAAGTTATTAGCATGATAACATTTGATAGTTTATTTCATAAATTGTCTTCATATCGTCATTTGATAAAGATTCCTAGTTCATTTCACCCAGAACTATCGCTCTCTAGAAGTAAACATTGGGAATCTATTCACGTGTTTATATTTTGATCAGGTTGTATTTTTTAAGTTTCATTGTAAATGCTTTCATTCCGCCGTGAAACTTTACACACGGAGACAATCTTGAATAAGTTACTGAATGTACAGGTAACTATATATTGGTATGGCCTGCTTTGATCCGCAAACTATAAAGAATCTCCTTACAAGAATCAGCTACAATCTCTTCTGATCCTTTGATAGGACAGAGAACGTGAACGTGCTCTTGCATTAAAATTAATTCTGTTTTTCTCAAGCTGTTTTCCTGTCTATGCACCAGTTACACTGAGAAAGTTAGAGGAACATGTCTGTCATAGAAAATAGCAGCTTATTATAGTGTTTTATTTGATTACCAATCACAACAAACGCCCTATACATGCATTCATCGCATATATCATTCAAGATATTCCAACTCTGAAGTATTGGTGTAAATCATTATTTTAGCTGTACGAGACCCATGGTAAATAACGTTATGTCTGTGATACACGTCTATAATGCACACTGAAAACGGAAGTTTTAAAGAAAGGTTTTTTCATAACTAAAGAATAATTATGACATGAATTAAAATTATCATAACGAATTTCGTACTCCTGTTACTAATAAAACAGTTGAATTTCAATCCGTTGTATTTTCCGAAACACTTTATTTTAACCGTGGATATAGATGCTAATGTATCTAACATATTTCTCATTGGAACTATAAGAATGCCTAAAATTAGTACACCACGTGGCATTTTGATGACGTAACACCTACTGAAATGATGATTCCTAGTCTTCACGGACAGATGCATTTTAATCATAAATGTCCGCGCTTATTTTAGACTTCAAACCCCTCAGTGCGCATATGTTACTTCCCTGCTTGTATGCATAACAAAGTAGAAAAGGCTGGAAGCACTCAAATTGTATTTAACGAAAATGATTTTAAACAAATGATGAAGTAAAACGATGTTTCTGTTGTATCGCCCACGCCCTCCTTTGCGTTTTGATTTTAAATAAATATGAAGAATGATTTATATGTCCTCGTTTTTTGATGATTTTTTTACAAATCATTATATCCTTGGTGATATCTTATATATTAGCATCTTGCTTCCGGTTTATAATATGTTTTACATTTTGCTAACATATGATAACATCTGTATAGTTTTTTTAAAACCCACGTTCTGGTGTAGTATTTTACCATCGACTAACCTGGAACAACACTGTAATAGCGAAGAGCCTGTCCGAACACGGAAGGGAGATGTGGTATTTTCAAGAAATTCCACTTTTATATATATTCACGACGACTTTGTCTTTGAATGGCAAGGAAACTATTTGCCATGCCCATCGGTTATCTCTGATATCACGTCAAATTAAAGACAAATCAGAGTCTTCATCGTCGGCTTTTCACCTCAAAATTCACTCATAATGCAATCCATAATTTCAATGACGTAAATGCAAATTTATAATTTCTGGAAAGCAATAAACTGGGTTGTACTGAATATTGCGCATCCTGTAATATAGATGTAACAACGTGACTGGAACAACTTACAACAGGTTTCAAAGGATGAAGATTTGTGATGGTTTAAGATTTGTGTTATATGCAGTTTGATGTGTTTGATGCTTGTTTACATGACATATGACACCTACCCCGATTCTCCTTTTGAGAACGTGACATTTTTCTTTTATACGGCGAGGTTGTTTTCAATTTTGTCCCTTGCGATGGTTCTCATGGAAAGCTTTCAATTGATCAGGTTTTGCTCTTTTCTTAAATAGGAAATTGTTTTCAAAAACAGTATCACATGCATTAATTTTCTGCATTACAATAGCATCTATCTCTTACAGTCGAGTCTAGAATACTATTACAATATTTCTTTGACATCCTATGAGACAACACAAACTTTTGGTTTCCAAGAATGATTTGAGTTAAACACTGTGGCACTATAGTAGCTTTCATTGTGGTAAAAAAAATGGTTTACAATACAATTTATTGATGGGGCATTTTAGATGCAATTGTCAAAATATGTCTTGTCCCGAGAACTTAGTTTTACTTCATTTTGTATGAAACCATCATAAAAACACGTTTTGTGTGATTTGCTGACGTTTTCTGGTCTGAAAAGAACATACCAATATACAATCGTTATTGTCTTATTGTAAAATCAAAGCCGGAGAAAAATGCATTAGGCAGGACATTTTTAACCCAAATGTGAATGAAAATTTGTAAGAATCTCATCTATTTCGAGTCTATTTTAAAACACCATTTGACAGATTAATCCTCATCAGTCCACAGAAGTGTTATCGAATATATCATGCAGATACTATCAGAGCCTGTACAATTTCTTTCGATAAGAGTGTCTAAGGTGGTAAAATAACTTTCATTTCGACGGAAAATGAGATATTTTAGGATAGGACTACTTCACCAGTTACTACCAGATAATGTTTTTATTTATATATGACCATTATCCCAATTGCTTTTTACAAAACCCAAAATCATTATTCCGAATATCGAATAAGGAATGCCGTAAATATATTCTTGTTTTTATTATGTTTCAATAATAAACTAATCCGTATTTACTTCATTAGGTCGATAAGAGGTATTTCGTCATATTAATATATACAGATTAAACCACAATTATTTTGTAGATGAAAATATAAATAAAGATGCATATATAGATTGAGTTTTTACGTTATCTGTATCTACCCCACAGTGTTACTACACTGATGAGGATTTTCAATTTTCAGTTAAATAGGAAGGTTTATTGAATTCATATGGAATTCTGAATTGCTTCCTTTACGTACATGTTTTATAAAACATCTTCACAAAAGAATACTTTTAAATTACACAATATGCACATAACTAACAGCGAGTTGATATGGTCGATAACTTAGTAGTGAGTATAGTACGAAGCTGGACGTATTTGACTCTCGTTAGTTTGCCTGTTGGTTACGTTGTTGTATACCTTGTTCTCATTTGAGAACGTGACATTACTAAATAGGATTGACCAAGGTTTACATTGGGAGTGTCGTTAAGCAGAAGACGCTTACTCTTCCGAAACACC